CGAGGTATAAACGTGCGAACTTACTGTGGTACACTTAATTCACGGTTGTTTGCATAAGAGTTAGTGTATTGCGCAAACGAACGCTCTGAGATCGTGGTCAATGATTGATAAAAAAATATGTTATTTTTTGTACGTTATTACAAAGTTAAGTCGTACAATGTGTGCATTACTAATTTGTAAGTTATTACAAAGTTAAGTCGTACACTGTGTGTATTACTAATAAAAATCTTACGTTACGGACGTTTTTTCCCGTTTAGGGTACCCCTCCGCATCGTCCCATAAGGAACTTCGTTCCAAAAATCACAAAACATGATGTACGTTTGTATACGGATTTAATTAAAATATGCTTAGACCGTCCGTCTATGGGGAGAAGACCAAAGTATTTTGATTTTCAGCAGAACTGATTCATTGAATCGGTAGATAATAAGGTCAATTGCAACATGTAATTTTTTAATGATTATGCTCACGGCCCTTGTGTTAAGTGGTTACGGAGCTCGTAGACCTCACAGCGCAAATGCCGCAACTTACCATGATAAATGAGGTCTTAGTTTGACAGCTGTTCCTCCTTTCACACCAGAATGTATGACTGCTTCGCAGCAGAATTAGGCAAGGTTTCCCGTGCGAACCTACAAGTACGCCCTACTGATATTGATTACGCAAAAAAATAAATATTTAAATTTGATTTTTATCAGAGGACAACCGGCGCGCTCCGGCTCCGCTCAGGTCTTTAACAAAAAAATTCAACCATATTTGACGTTGTTTAATTTTTTTTAGTAAAAGAACATTTATTGCGGCATGACTATAATAGTTAGACATATTATTATGCTGTCGCGCCCCTTGTTGTAAATAATAATGTGTTCTACAAAGTCGTAGTACATTATTTTATTCTAATCAATAGCTTTCGCAGGGCACGCGACGTAAAGAATATTTTAGGTAGTTTTTTTACACCTTGGGTTACATTATTGGAGTTTTTGTAGATTCTTATTTTTTTTCAAATGTCTATGTCACTCGGGAATAGTGTAGCTTCCAAACAGTGAAAGAATTTCTCAAATCGGTTCAGTAGTTTCGGAGCCTATTCAATACAAACAAACAAACAAACAAATCTTTCCTTTTTATAATATTAGTATACCTAGTCTTGCCATAAATACTGAGACAAAGGGAAAAAAAATTCTATTGCAAATAACATTTATTACTTTTACAGTGTGTTAGTTTAATACATAAATATAAAACAATTTAAAGTATAAAAAGCTTATTCGAAGTGGTCTCCATTGGCTGCAATACAGTCCTTTAAACGTTGAGGCCAGTTATCAATAGAAGCACGCACTCTTTCCATGGGAAAATTTTTCACTGCCAATCGTACGGATTGTTTNTACTTTTACAGTGTGTTAGTTTAATACATAAATATAAAACAATTTAAAGTATAAAAAGCTTATTCGAAGTGGTCTCCATTGGCTGCAATACAGTCCTTTAAACGTTGAGGCCAGTTATCAATAGAAGCACGCACTCTTTCCATGGGAAAATTTTTCACTGCCAATCGTACGGATTGTTTTAGGGACTCCAAATTATCATTATGAAGTCCTAAACGTTCGTTTCCAACCAAGACTGCGTAGACCGAGCTTTATGACCTGGCGCCGAGTCTTGCTGGAAGGACCATTCTTGATTACTGAACATGGTGTTGTTAAGGGGCTTTACTACCTTCTCAAGAATGGTATCTTGATACACTTGTGCCGATAGTTTGATACCTTTTTCACAAAAATATGGCTCAGTCACTCCTTCATGGCTAATACCCCACCAAACCATCACTGAAGTCGGATAGTGCCCACGTTGCACTCTGTCGACTAATTGGGAAGCTTTCTTAGAGCTTTGAGCATAAATACGGTCATTTTGTTTGTTAAAATGTTACTGCGGTCCTCGTCAGGCGGGACGTGGTACATGATCAGTTGGATTTGCTGTCCTTCACATCGACTAGGTCGGTCGGTGTGAGGGTACACACCCCGGGGGGAGATATGCGGATTTATGCCGCGTATAGACCTCCGGGGCCTGATTTCCATCCTGAGGATATAAGACGGGCCCTGAATCACGACAGCCGCCCAGCTCTGCTGGTCGGGGACCTCAACGCGAAGCACGTCGCGTGGGGTTCCCGACTTAACTCAGTAGTGGGCTGTTAGAAGATGCCGATAGGGGCGACTACTCCGTGGTCGGCCCCGAAGAACCCACACACTTCCCGGCCGCCGCGCGTTATCAGCCCGATGTGCTGGATTTGTGTGTGCACAAGGGGCTACGGTGCCCCGTAACGATCGAGGCACTGTACGACCTGGGTACCCCCCATCTCCCTATCCTGGTAACACTGGCAATGGGGCTCACCCGGGTTGCGATCTCGCCCCTACTGGGGGACTGGGAGCTCTTTAAGAGACGACTAGTCGACCTTCCCGTGATTCAGGACCCCAACACCCCTGATGGGGTCGACGATGCGGCAGTCCGCCTTGTTGACTCCATCAGGGGAGCGATCGACCAGGCGACGACTCTTGTGCCCAGCGGCGGGCCCAGAGGTATACTCCCGGCCCATCTGAAGGCGATTATTCGCCGGAAGAGGGGCTTGAGGAGGCTCTAGGCGACAACTCGTTGTCCCAGGATAAAGCGCGAGCTTAATGAGCTGGAAGCGGAGCTGGCGACAAAGATTAGTACCTTCCGGGCTTCCCACGCTTGGAGGTTGCCCTCCAAGCGTGATTGCGTGGGAAGCCGACGTGAAGTTGGCGCTGTTTGCCGACGACAGCGCCTACTTCGCGTCATCTAACTTCCCCTCTGCGGCCATTTCGAAGATGCAGAGGTTATTGGACTTACTGCCCCAGTGGCTGGACCGATGGAGGGTCGCGGTCAACGTGGGGAAGACTGCGGCTATTCTCTTCGGTCCGGTCCGCACAACAGTCGTCCCGGGACAGCTCAGTCTCCGTAACGCTAATGTCGAGTTTAGATCCAGCGTCCGGTAATTGGGGGTCAATATCGACCGGAGTTTGAGGATGACCGCCCACGCCATGTCGGCGTTGGCGGCCGCTCGCTATGCGAGATTCCTCCTCCGGCCGGTGTTGGCCTCCAGGTTTCCGGTCAGGACTAAGCTCGGCTTATAAGACGTATGTCCGTTCCCGTATCACGTACGCAGCTGCGACCTGGTATCACCTCATCCCGCAGGGTATGCGGGCGAGGTTACAGGTCCAGCAAAATCTGGCTCTTCGCACGATAGTAGGAGCAGGGCGTTACGTCAGAAATGCCGTAGTCGCCCGGGATCTGCATGTGGAGTCGTTCGAGGAGTTCATCCGCAGGCTAGCTCGTAATCTTTACGAGCGGGTTGACGGTGGACCCCACGAGCATCTCCACAACATAGCTCCCTTGCACGCCAGACGACCTGATGGTCGGGCGCTACCAAGGGAGCTACTGGAACCCCCTACTATGGTAAGATAGTCGGCTTAATCGGAGTGATATGGGAGTGCTCATAACGAGTGCCCCCATGGGACTGAGCTGTCCCCACTCGTCACTTCCCCCCACCCCGTTGGGTGGACCACTCCCCCGTCTGGGGAGTGTTGTAACACGGTCCCTCCCCGTGACGGTCTTCCCCTTCTGGGGAGCCCGGAGCGGGTGAGCGCCTTACTAGTGCCGCGGCTCCCTCTCTGGTTTGTAGAGGTGGGGCCGCGGCATGGGCCCGGTGGCATGCCCCTCGTATCCGCTGACTGTTGTCCCTGTGTTGTAAATAGTAGTGTAGTCTAGTTTTAGTTAGTTGTAGTTAGTGTGTAGTTAGCTGTAAGGAAAAAAAAAAAGGACAGAGGACAGCAGCCGGCGCCGGGGTGACTCCGCCGCGGGCATCGAGCCGTCACCAGACCAGCCCATCGTATTATGTTTATTTATATATCATTTTGTCGATGTGGTGCAGCCGTGCACGCTGCAAACAGCAGTACCTCTCCCATCTCCTCCCTGCATCAACTTCACCCCTGCCCTGAGTGGCAGGGAGCGTTTGTCCGGGCAATGGGGCTTGCCCTGAGGCCCGTTCCGTACCCCCGTCAGGGGGTACGACGACCCCCCTCTTGCTTGTTAAAATGTTGCTCAATTGTAAAAATTTTCTCATCCTTAAACAAAATTTTTCTGTGACCTCCCTTTGCGTACCGCTTTAGTAGTTGTATCGATTTTACCACCAAATTCTCTTTTAAATTATCAGTTAAGAAATGACCAGTACGTCTCTTATAGGCTGCAAGTCCTAAGTCATCTTTTAAAATACGCGACATGGTTCTAGGTGCTATCTTCATCTCCCGAGATAAAATCTTTTGCTTTCGGACAGCATTTCTTCGAATTCTTTACCTTACTGCTTTGACCACCTTTTTCGTACGAACACTACGTGGACGGCCAGATCTTTTTCTGTCACAAACAGAGGAGGTCTCATTGCACCTATTATTAGCCCGGTACACAAACATTTTACTAATACCAAGCGTATGGAGAGTTTTAAAATTGCATTTGGCTCCATACCTACTTTGTGTAATGCAATTACAGCGATTCGGTTCTCTTTATCACCCCACTCCATTTTAATATCGCAAAATATTGTAAAATGTATTGGCGCCAAAATGAGAAAACTCAATGAGCAATCATATAAAAATGACAGATTCCAAATTCAAATGTAATATTTTGTTTATTTTTAATTGTAACAGTATTTATGGCCAGACTAAGTAGATAGTATGGATAGTATGGTACAGATAGGATGTTATGTTTGATCAATGTTTCATAATAATATGTTAAGTAATAAGTTCTTAGTTTATGATAAAAAGATTTCTGATTAGCGGTTTTTTTAATCGCGTATGGTAGTTTGTGATGCACAGACGCAAATAAATAGATTTTATTGATTAAATACACCTACCGGAAATCGATATGATAAGAGGCTAAGTTACTTTTAATTAAAAAATAACTTCGTATAAATACAGAGCGCAGTGTAACAGAACACAGTGAAGTGTAATTGTTAAAAAATGACACCGACGCTCGTCTTACTGCTCTTAGTTGGAGCTGTGGCTGGTGCGTGAGTTTTTTAGTTTTTTTATTTGTTGTAGCCGTTCCCAGTAGTTTCATTAACTGCAATTGGATGATCCTTCAGACTTTGTTAGATCAATTTTTTTGATTATCTTACATTTATGGAGATATCTGATATATACAATGTAAAAGTGCTCGATTTTCTTTTTAATACGCTTTTCTTAGCTTCATACGTATGATAGTGGTATGTAAAGAAATTTTTGAACATGACTTTGACCTCCTTTTTTGCCACGCTTTTTTATAATAAATTGATTTCCATAATTTTAGTTTGGTTTTCTATAAAAGTGTGTTTTCTATTTTTTATACTATTGTTTATTGTTTTTATACTATGATTTTTCTATGGAAAAACAGTTTCTAATTTGTGTGCACGAACGAAAAATCAAATAAAACAAACGCATAGCATTTCATTATTACTGGTAGTAGTTAGTTTGTATGTCTGTGCAGATAGGTAGCAGCACCTTCTTATCTATATCTGTCGTGAAGCTGTTAAGCATTCCGATTCGAAGTGTGCGACAACCGTTTGATTGACTTCAATTTTAATGCGCATATTTAGACGAGCGATGGAATCGATATTTTGATATATTTGAAGTCGTCGTGGCCTAACGGATAAGATGTCCGGTGCATTCGTGTTGAGCGATGCACCGGTGTTCGAGTCTCAGGCGGGTACCAATTTTTGTAATGAAATACGTACTCAACAAATGTTCACGATTGATTTCCACGGTGAAGGAATAACATCGTTTAATAAAAATGACACCCGCAAAATTATAATTTGCGTAATTACTGGTGGTAGGACCTCTTGTGAGTCCGCGCGGGTGGGTACCACCACCCCGCCTATTTCTGCCGTGAAGCAGTAATGCGTTAAGGTTTGAAGGGTGGGGTAGCCGTTGTAACTATACTTGAGACATCTACAACGTAAATGCGCCATACACCTAGAGATATAAGTTCTAAGGTCCCAGTATAGTTACAACGGCTGCCCCACCCTTCAAACCGAAACGCATTACTGCTTCACGGCAGAAATAGGCGGGGCGGTGGTACCTACCCGTGCGGACTCACAAGAGGTCCTACTACCAGTAGGACCCAGTAGTCTTACCATCTCGTCTAAACACATGATGCAAATATAATATTGGGGGTTTTTCATACATTTAGCTTTAACCACGATAAACCATGGCCGTAATTAAATAATAAAAAAAAAACAATAGTGAATCAACTGTGTTTATTTATATTTTATTTTTCAGCCATACCAGACCAGTCCTCAAGGATTGTCGGTGGGACAGCGACAACTATCGACCGGTACCCCACAATGGCAGCAGCACTTTTTTCTAGCAATATGGCCCAGTGGTGGCAAGGATGTGGCTGTTCCATTCTCAATAACAGAGCCGTCCTTACAGCCGCACATTGTATTATGTAAGCATCAAAATTTAATACAAATTATCTAATTCATTGCGGTTCTGTGGTCTATACTGACGTTAATTTTCGGGGCCACAATAGTAGTTTTGTACACGGTTGTCCTAATTTTCACTGTAGAACATACGAAGGCTATGCGGCAGAAAAAGATGTGATGGTTGTACGAGCCCACCGTGCTTACTTTCAGTTCTGTCGAAGGCTTGAGACATGCTTTCTGATATCTTCACGATAAGAAAAAAAAGCCTCGTTGAATAGTGAAGAAGGCTTGACGAAGGCTTTTTTAATTTTATTTGGGTAGACGTGCTAACGGTTTGCCTTATGTTAAGTGGTTATTGGAGTCCATAGACATCAACAATGTAAGTTCCGCCACCCACATGAAGACTTCAATTTTAAGCCTCAGTGATATAGTATAACGGCTGCTCCAGCTTTCAAATACGCATTACTGCTTCACGGCAGAAAATGAGCAAGGTGATGATCCCTACCGTGCGGGCTCACAAGATCCCCTACCACCAGTAATTACGCAAAATATAATTTTGCGCGTTTGATCTTTATTTCACGATGGTATTCTGTCACCGTGGAAGTCATTCATGAAAATTTGTTGTGTACCTATTTCATTAGAAAAGTCGGTACCTGCTTGCAGGATTCGAACACCGGTATAGTTGCATCACTCGATACGAATGGATCGGGCATCTTATCTTTTAGGTCACGGCGACTTTGTAATTTTAAATTTATTTCGTAATTTTTTTTTGTTACTGCCCTTATAGGCTGACGAGCATACGACGCACCTGATGGTGAGTGGTTACCGTCGCCCATAGACTTCAGAATGCCAGGGGCTGAGCCAAGCCGCTGCCTACAGCCAAGCCGCTGTGAATTTCGGTTACTCGCAATTTATCTCACAAGAAAGGGACAACATCCAATCATATGACCTCTATCGCAATAGTACGACAGAGCTTGGCATGGCGTTAATTTAATTTTTCAAGTTAATACTACTGTAATGTTTGACCTATGGAGTCCAGTAACTGCGCTAAGTAAACCATGATCTGTCATCATAATCATCATCATTAAAACATAAATTTTCATTTAAATTTTTAGAGGAGATCGTGTCGGTGTTTGGAGAGTTCGCGTAGGATCTTCTTTTGGAAATAGTGGCGGTGTTGTCCATGAGGTCAACAGGCACATCATCCACCCTAATTACAATCATCGTACAAAGGACGCTGATATTGCAATCATGCGTACAGTTTTACGGATAAACTTCGTACGTAATACCGTGCAGCCAGCTCGTATTGCGGGTTCCAATTACAACCTTGCCGATAACCAAGTTGTTTGGGCAGCTGGATGGGGATCTACAAGGGTGAGATATCACGAATGCATATTTTGAATAATAATTGAAGTATCAGTTTCCAGAGGTCTTTTTTGGTTACGTACTATCCGGCTCCCCTCCACGGTGTTTTCCGAACGCTATGACATGTCCTTCTTCAAACAAGGCCAAAATGAGAAAACTGAATGAGCAATCATATAAAAATGACAGATTCCAAATTCAAATGTAATATTTTGTTTATTTTTAATTGTAACAGTATTTATGGCCAGACTAAGTATATTGAAACCTCTATAAGTATGTCAGTCTCTGGTACCGATAACAAAAGGAATCCTAATTTGGGGTCGGATGAACGTGCCTGATTTGTTTCCGGTTTTTTATTATTTATAGTAACGTCTATACATGGAGTGGTGCGGGGGCTATTCAAACTCAGAACCAAAAAATATTTTTGGATTAATTCCTTAAAGTAAAATCACGAAATGACAGATTATTTTCACTGAATATCGGTTCAGTTTGTTATTGGCGTTGGTAGGCAGATCCGGATTTTCTCAGTTGGTTGCGGTTCCGATCCGGTAGTTGATTCAGCGAATCATTGCTCTTGCTAGGGCTAGTGTTAGCAATTCTTTTAGGTTGAGCCCGTGAGCTTGCCTACCGGTCCGCGTGAAGTTGGAATAGCTGCTTAGGCTACCAACGATTAGGTAGGGGGGAAAAAAGGCAGATGACCTTACAGCCTTTTTTTTATTTTTTGTTGCCTAGATGGATGGACGAGCTCACAGCCCACCTGATGTTAAGTGGTTACTGGAGCCCATAGACATCTACAATGTAAATGCGCCACCCATCTTGAGATATAAGTTCTAAGATCTCAGTATAGTTACAACGGCTACCCCTACCCTTCAAACCGAAACGCATTACTGCTTTACGGCGGAAATAGGCGGGGTGGTGGTACCTACCCGTGCGGACTCCCAAGAGGTCCTACCACCAGTAGAGCCTTCCCGATATGAAGATGTTACCGGAGCTTATAATAAATAAATAAATTATAGCTACTTCAGTATTAATGCTGAATGCTGCTACTCACTTTGAGTCATAAGATTGAAGTTGGATGAATTAGGATTATTATTAGAATTTCCTATTACATGCTTTTAAGATAGAAAATTGTCAGGTATTAGAGGTTAATGTAGGAAAGAAGTAAGAAGTGTCCAAGCGACGCGATGTGCCGGGTTCGAATTCACACGGACAGATACAATATTCTCTAAGTGAAAATCTACCAAACATGCTTACGAGCGACTTTGATGATCAAAGAATAACAGCGCAACATGAAACTTGCAAATATTATAAATTTGCATAGCTACCTGTGACGGAGCGTACTGTAGCGGTAGTTACCATTATCGTTCCTACTTTTTAATACGCTTTTATTAGCTTCAGACGTATATATGTTTGTAACGGAATCTTTGAACATGATTTTGACCCCCGCCAGATCAACTCGAAATTTGGTATACTTATTAAGGACCGACGACAAATCAGTATTAAAAAAAAATTAAAAAATTGAAATTCAACTGAAAAATGAAAAATAAATAATATGTAGTTTAAAAAAACTAACAAAATACGCTTTTATAGAAAATCCAACAAAAAAATAGAAAATAAATTTTAAAAAATGTGTGCGTGTACTAGTGTACACACGTAAGAAGTGAAACTTCTTTATGGCCTTATTTTTCGAAAAATGATCTACATGCAACTTTCTAGAAATTGGTTAAATAAAGTTAAATTAGATAAAGTTTAAACAAAAGGATTTTATTATCATAGACATGAATACAAAAAAGTTAAATTAGATAAAGTTTAAACAAAAGGATTTNCAAAGCTGTCATCAAAAATACAATCGATTTTAATCGATTTGAAATCGATAATCATATTACTTTGCTAAGTAATAATAGACTTTTTCTTCATTTATGTATATAATCGCAATTAAATCCGGCGCATACCGCACTTGTATACAACAAGTATAAATCGCTCATTTAATTACTTTGCATTAATTACCTAGTGCAATGTTTTTCTTATTTTTATAATCCTGTAATCGATTAATTAAATCGATCACACCGTTATACCGACAAAAACTAACTTTCTCATTTTTCTCCGGTCCCAGAAAGAGGATTGAGGTGATTTTTTATATTCTTATATAAAAAAATATGACAAATTTTTTAGACTACATTCCAAGTTATTACATTTTTGGCCCACGATTTTCCGTCTCCTTTACGGGAATAATAACATTCTGATCTGGATCGATATAGCTCGCAGAGTTAATAGGCTAAGGTGCAGTGGGCTGGTCAGATATGTCGCAGAACCGATAACCGTTGGGGTAGACGTGTTCTGGAGTGGAGACCGCGAACCGGCAAACGTAGTGTAAGACGCCCTCCTGCTTGATGGAGCGACGACCTGCGGCAGGAACTGGATACGTAGAACCGAAGATCGGGTTCAGTGGCGAGCTTTGGGGAGGCCTATGTCCAGCAGTGGACTGCCGCAGGCTGATGATGATGATGATGATAACATTCTCGTTGAACTTGGATGGACTATGTGTTTACGATGGTTTAATTAAGGTTAATTTTGCTTTTCTTGAGATGTTCAGAGTTCTTGATTTAAAATCAGAATGTTTGAGTGCTTTACGGCGCAAATAGGCTGGTGAAGATAAAGGTGGAGTCTGAAGACGGTATCTCAGGCAGGTTCTGGCGGTAGGTCTCCAGCTGGATGGTGGCATTGACGTTGTAATGTCTATGGGCTCCGGTAACCACTTAAAACTGGTGTAGCGTGGTTCATATGTCTGTGCCAAACGTAAAAAGGAAGTTTTTATTTTCAGGACCTGTGAGTTTTCTCCGCTCGAGATCGGGATAGTGTTGTGCAGCTGGTATTGTATACCTGGAACAAGAAAGTATACAATATAGTTCAGTATGTAGACAGCAGCGTGGTTATACTCCTGACATTGTTGATGTTCATGAACGATGGTAACCACCTACCATCAGATGGACCGTATGCTTATTTGTCTACAATAGCAATAAAAATATTTCTTTAAGAAAACAGATAATAATAATAAGTGTTTGATGTATGTAACGAGTCAATCTGTAAAGTTAATAATTATTTACTAGGTGATGCTACGTGAAAAAAATGGGCTCCGGTCTTATCGTGCTTAATTTTGTTCTTGTATGTTACTAATACATAATACAATATTGAAGAAAAACCAGTCGACACGTACGAAAGAAGAATAAGTACCGATACGCCCAGAATAAATCTCACTTTGGTCTTAATAGCACCACGATTCCCATGGATATCGTAAAAAGGACTTGAGTTTTATTAAAAAACGGGCTGCCGTATTATATCAGTGATCTGTCTAGCATACTGCATCTGAAGAATACCGACGTCAGATGACATATTATCGTATCGAGCGACCAAATCAGAGTAAAAATCCAGAAGCTTTTTTTCAATTTAAAGAAAAAAGAATACGTATCTAATACCAATTACGACTTACTTAACCCAATTACTTAATTCAACATTAATTTTGAATTTTAAATAATGTAAACAAAAAAAAAACAAGCAAAGCATTCACAAATCACAGACTTAGCGGAAACGTCATTTGTTTGAGAAATAAATGGTTCGTGTTAAAATAATAAATTTCTGTTTCTGTTATATGCATTTGTCGGGCATGCAATAATAAACTGCAAAAATTAAAATTACTTTTAGGATTTAAGCTCGCATTTATGATTTGTTCTATTAAAGTAATTGCATAACTTCGTATTTTCTTATCGTGAAGATCAGCTTCCCAGTCAAACAAACTGCAAGACCTCAAATTATTTTAATTTGTTTTGGTGTGAAATGAAACGAATAATAAAAAAAAAAAGAAAAATAGAGAGCAGTATTCAAAAAGTATTCACAGTATTTAAAAAGTCGAGAATAATATAATGACAATAAAAAAAAATTTCAACTCTGTGTTCTGTATATTTATTTTTATTGAGTCAATCCTTTTGCATCTTTGCGTCCAATGAAATCTTTTCGGGCGAAAATTGTTATTTGACGTTGACATTTTATGGAAAGCTTTTGAAACAACAGGGTAGGCAGTGTCTTAGCCTTGCCCCTGACATTGCTGAAGTCCATGTGCGACGGTAACCACTCACCATCAGGTAGGCCGTACGCTCGTCTGCCTACTAGGGCTATACAAAAAAAAACCATTTTAATATTGGGAATATGCAGTCAGTCTATGAGAGTTGAATTTTCAGAATAATTGGAACTCGGAAAGGGCATTGCTAAGATAGGAGGGTGCGCCACAAGGGGCGGTGTTTTTATGTCTGCGGTGAGACGTACCAACGGCGAGAACCCAATTTATGCGTGGTGACATTCGTGGTGGGTAGCCATCATACAACGCAAGATATTTGATAGATGCCTGAATCTCGCTTACGACATTTTCAAGATAAGCTTGCATAATATACTTAAGTACAACAACATTCGGACCGTCGGTCTACCGAGAAAATATCACCCACTCCGTAGAAGATCTTCCCTTTGTCGTCTAAGCCTTCCCAAACATTAAGGCAATAATACAGTTTTAGTATTGAGCCACTTATTACGCTAAAAGTTTCGAAGCGACCATGGAGGGTAGGCGGCGGCAGTGAAATAATAATGCAGCGCTCATTGATGACATTGATTTTGGGATGGTTACTAGATACTCTGTTAGCTGAGCGAGCCTGGTTTGAGCGATTCCAACCTGTCAATCAACTAGACGATTGAGGCGTCGATTACTTACCGAGCCCACAAACTATTTTCATGGCGGTTGGAGATTGATTCGTTTTTGATAGCGTCTAAATCGGTCGTTTAGATGTAAGAAAAGTAGTGATAAGTTATTTTAATCTACAATCCTACCAAAGATTTGGTCTATTGAAAATATAGATTTTTATATTTCTTGTGTAGGTAGACGAGCATACGGCCCACCTGATGGTGAGTGGTTACCGTCGCTGGTGTACGTCAGTAATACCAGGGACAGAGCCATGCCGCTGCCTACCGCTTAATACTCTCCACAAGCCTCATTTGAAGAAGGACATGTTCCCATTTCGTTCAAGCTTTAGTTTGTTTCTTAGATTTGGAGTCGTGTTGAGTAGTTACAGAAGACCATACACATCACAATATTAAAATCGTGTGCCTTGAGATACACACGTGTATCGAAGTCTAAATTACATAATATATTCTGAAACGCCTGTCCCTTTATCCAAAATTGGAACGCAATACTGCTTCCCAGTAGAAATAGGTAGCACGTAAGTGAGACATGCACACTTGTTCACTCATAAATAAGATTGACATAATTAATTAATAAAAAGTCTACCAGATTGAGCTTTCAATACGCCCTACCACCAGTAATGAGGACGTGATAAATCATCAGCATCACTAACTTCGCACTTGTGCTGTGAGATAACTTTTAAATGCTCTGAAAATAATTAGTTAAACATTCATTTTTTTTTAATAATTATTTTACACTTGAAGTTTAATCGGTAGACGTATAGAGCTTCCCCAGGACAAGCAGGCGAGCATGGGATCTATCTGAAGAGGTGGGATTTGTTTAGTGGGTTTTACAGGCGTCTCCCAGGGAGATCTGTCGGCTCAAGGGCAGCTGCTGCTACCAGATTGGAATCGCGACCCATTGAGAAGATCCAGCGAAATACTTGGACGGGCAATAAATATAAATTTTATCCCGGATTATGTATTGATTTCTTTTAAAATGTGTGTTTAATTGGCAAACTGCCTTTGTCAACAAAATTAATAATACCAAGAGAGATTTTATATAGTAAATAAATTTTGTGATCTAATCTGTGCTGCGTCGTTGATACGATTGAGTTTGCACAGTTTTATTGTCGTTATCGAATTCATGTTTTTCATATAATAACAATCAACATTTATACAAGGTTCTACTCGTGTCGTTTTAAAAATAACTCACTAAAAATGAAAATAGCTGAATACTCGTATTTATTAAGTTCAATATGCTATTTATAAATTTTAAACGTGACACTTTCATTTAAAATTATTTCTTAAGTCAAAAAAAAAAATACAATATCGCCCATTTTTCAAAATTTAAGAACTACAGAATCAGTTAACGAGTAGATACTGTGAAGAGTTACATGCTCGTAATTTAAGTGAAACCCAGAATATTTATAGCCAGTCCCGACTGTCGAGTAGATTACCTTGTGTTGTACCACTAGATATATTTACTTTATCTCCGACTTTTATAGTCCTTTAATCAATTCGGGTTTAACTTTGTGTTTTCTCGTGTGTAACATTATTAGAAAAAAAATCATAAAACATTATGTACATATGTTTGTATATGGATTTAAACAAACTAGAAGTCCCGCAGTAGTCGAAATTCGACTATAATTAATTGGAATTGTAAGTTTGTACACTATTATGATTGTATTTTATACTTCTATAATCACAAATTTCGCCAAGACTACACTATAAAAAATAATAACAAAGACAAACAATATTTAATCTATTCTCAATTTGACAACAGACGTCAAGAACAAAAGTTTAACAATAAATAGTATGCATGCGTGTGTGCGTCAAATACATGATATGTAGTGTGTGTAATGTTTTCTTTATTGATTTAATGTATCTCTTATGCATTATTTAAAAATATTTTATTGCTGGATGAGTGGACGAGCTCACAGCCCACCTGATGTTAAGTAGTTACTGGAGCCCATAGACATTTACGACGTAAATGCGCCACCCACCTTGAGATATAAGTTCTAAGGGCTCAAGTATAGTTACAACGGCTGCCACACCCTTCAAACCGAAACGCATTACTGCTTCACGGCAGAAATAGGCAGAAGAGTAAAAGGAATAATATAATTGAAAAAGACCTAGGCTGATTATTAAGGAATGTGGATATTGAATCCGCCCCTCTGTAAAGGTTAGGTTTCTTTATTCATTCCTAGTAACTGTATCCTTTTTTCAGTACCGTGTCCCTTCCAAACATTTCCTGCCCCCTTGCCCTTTATCTTCCAATTTTACTGATGATATAGAGCTTAGGTATGAAATCCAACTTAAGTGAGTAATACAGTCATACCGATTTCTGCCGAGAAGTATTCTTGCTGTCCGTCGTTGTATGAGCTTTTATATAATTTAAATATGTACATACACGACTGCTTGAAAGTATTTATGGAAGCTTATGAAGAAAAGAACTCACGTTTAACATTTTTCACATCAATAACCGTAGATTAAGCTTACGGCTCTTGAAATTCTGTTACCAATAACGTAAGATTGTTACTAATTAATTACAATGAATAAAATACATATTTATTATGTACATGTATGTCGTCGTTTGCTTTTTGTTTTAACTTAAATTTGAATTTCTGATAATCATTTACAGTTTTATTTGTAAATTTTTAAATCACATGGTTTGCGAGCAATCCTTGTCTTACCCTGTCTATGAGCATATCTATCCCGTAGGCCTGTTTGTAAAATTTTTGGTTTGGGATTTTGAATCGTCGGATAGTTAATCACTCATGTGTACTATAACACGTGGACACAACCCATTAAGAAATGCCTCCGTCGCCACTACACACACACAAATTTAGAAAAAATAAGAGACGGACAGTTCCTTTCATTTTCTGCCGTTCTATGACTCATTATCATCAGGAGTACCGTATTTCAAATTCACAATTCAAGTTCCTATACCAGTATAGGACCAGTCCGGTCGGTTGAAAATTATCATTTAAAAATAATTAAGATAACAATTAAAATTCATAAACTGGCATTTTCATGTAAATATGACGTATGTATTATAATATTTTTTATCGAAACAAATAGTAACGTCACTATTATCGGTGATCGAATGATTTCCGAGCTGAAATATAATCTCTGTCAGAGTCATTATCTTTGATAAAGTTGTTTGTTATTCGCTGCTAAGCGAGTATAAGCTTGAGTAGGGCGTTAAGGTAGCAAACACAATTTCCGTACATGATTTTGACTAACGTCGAAGCCTACAGATCCTACTTGATAAAATTTAATCCCACTATGCATCACATACTCTGTGAGTAGCTTAATGGAAATGAGGTTGTTATGAGAGTGTTAACTATGAATGTGGAAGGATTTAGAGGAAGAGGTAGACCTAAGAAGAAATGGATGGATTGTGTGAAAGACGATATGGGTAGGAGGGGAGTGAGCGAAGAAATGGTAAATGATAGAAGAGTATAGAAGGAGAAAACATGTTGCGCCGACCCCAGGTGACTGGGAGAAGGGCAGGATAATGATGATGATGACTCTGTGAGTAGCTTAACAAGGTTAAGAACGGACGTGGTAAACAATGGGTATGCAAACAAAGGTCACCAAAATCCGCTGCTTCTTATTTCCAAACTCATGCAAGCGGCAATTGGAGATGAAGAGTAAAAGGCAGAGAATGACAAAGAAGATCCTAAAGCTCGAAGCTGAAGTCGTCGTGGCCTAAAGGATAAGAGGTCCGGTGCATTCGTGTTGAAGCGATGCACCGGTGTTCGAATCCCTGGCGGGTACCAATTTTTCTAATGAAATACGCACTCCACAAATGTTCACGATTGACTTCCACGGTGAAGGAATAACATTGTGTAATAAAAATCAAACCCACAAAATTATAATTTGCGTAATTAGTGGTGGTAGGACCTCTTGTGAGTCCGCACGGGTATGTACCACCACCCCGCCTATTTCTGCCGTGAAGCAGTGATGCGTTTTGGTTTAAAGGGTGGGATAGCCGTTGTAACTATACTTGAGACCCTAGAACTTATATCTCAAGGTGGGTGGCGCATTTACGTTCTAGATGTCTATGGGCTCCAGTAATCACTTAACATCAGGTGGGCTGTGAGTTCGTCCACTCATCTAAGCAATAAAAAAAAATTAAAAAAGTGTCGGAAAACTGTTCTTCCAGTCTAATAGATCAAGATAACTTGATCTCGTTTTAGAAATCTATATTACATGAGAAAAAATGCTAGAACTAGAACAAATTGGTTCAATCAATTCCTTAAGTACTATACTTATCATCGATTGGGAGAAGACCAAACTATTTTTATTTTCAGCAGAACCTCAGTTACTCATAATTAAATCGGTAGTTCATAACGTAAAGTTCAAGATGTAATTCTTTAATGACTATGCTCACGGCCTACCTTGTGTTAAGTGGTTACGGAGCCCGTAGACATCACAGCGCGAATGCCGCAACTTACCATGATAAATGAGGTCAAGGTCTTAGTTGTGTTGTTTGACAGCTGTTGCACTTTTCACACCAGAATGTATGACTGCTTCACAGCAGAATTAGGCAAGGTTTCCCTTGTAGGTTCGCACAAGTACGCCCTACTGATATTGATTCCGCAAAAACATTTGATTTGGTTTTTATTCCAGGACTAGCTGACCCGGCAGACTTCGTAGTGCCTCAATCGACAAATAAAAGACCTAAACTTTTGTATAAAATAAACTTGAAACAAACAAAAGGAATCCGTCCGACGGACACTTCAAAGGAAAAACAAAATTGTTATTTTTATTTAATTCCGAGCATTTTGATATTTATTCCTTATTATAAACCTTCTCTGAACGTCCACAAATAATTCAAGACCAAAATCAGCCAAATCGGTCCAGCCGTTCTCGAGTTTTAGCGAGACTAACGAACAGCAATTCATTTTTATATTTAAAGATGTTATGCTTGATCAATGTTTCATATATTAAGTATTAAGTTCTTAGTTTATGATAAAAAGATTTCTGATTAGCAGTTTTTTAATTGCGAACGGTACTTTGTGATGCATAGACGCAAAAAAATAGATTTTATTGATTAAATACCCCTATCGGAAATCGATATGATAAGTTACGTTTAATAAAAAAAATACTTCGTATAAATACAGAGCGCAGTGTAACAGAACACAGTGAAGTGTAATTGTTAAAAAATGACTCCGACGGCGACGTTCGTCTTACTGCTCTTAGTTGGAACTGTGGCTGGTACGTGAGTTTTTTAGTTGTAGCGATTCCCAGTAGTTTCATTAACTTCTATTGGATGATCCTTCAGACTTTGTCCGATCAAATTTTTTATTAATCTTACATTTACTGTGATATCTGATATATACAATATAAAAGTGATCGATTTTCTTTTTAATATGCGTTTATTTGCTTCATAAATATGTTGAATGTATGCAAAGAAAACTTTGAACATGATTTTGACCCCCTTTTTTGACACGCTTTTTTTTTACAATAAACTGATTTTCCATTGTTTTAGTTTGGTTTTCTATAAAAGCGTGTTTTCTAGTTTTGGTACTATTGTTTATTGTTTTTATACTATGATTTTTCTATGGAAAAACAGTTCCTAATTCGCGTTCACGAACGGAAAATCTAATGAAATTTCCCATAAAATTTCGTAATAGCCGGTAGTAGGCTGTACGGCGTATTATACGTCTGTACTGATAGGTAGCAGCATCTTATCAACATCTGCCGCGAAGCTGTTAACCATTCCTATAGGAAGCGTGCGACGGCCATTGTGTAATCCGATTGATTGACTTCAATTTGATGCGCATATTTAGACGAGCGATGAAATCGATATTTCTATGTATTTTGTACCAACAGAGCATATTATACCAACTGTGCCCTGATCTCGTCTAAGCACATGGTGCAAAGAAAATATTGGGGGTTTTTTAACCATGACAAATCGCGGCCGAAATTCAATGGTATTTTTTATAAAAATCCATTCGTGATCCAACTATGTTTATTTATATTTTATTTTTTAGCCATGCCAGACCAGTCCTCAAGGATTGTCGGTGGGACAGCGACAACTATCGATCGGTACCCCACAATGGCAGCAGCACTTTTTTCTAGCAATATGGCCCAGTGGTTGCAAGGATGTGGCTGCTCCATTCTCAATAACAGAGCCGTCCTTACAGCTGCACACTGCATTAAGTAAGTATCAAAATGTAATACAAATTATCTAATTGATTGCGGTTCTGCGGTCTAAACTGACATCAATTTTTAGGGCCACAAGAGTATTTTTTTATGTTTGAGAGATTTACTGGTGGCCCGGAGGCCTTTCCAGTTTTACCAGGACGGGTGGGCGAGCAAGAGCTCAGACAGGAGGGGTGGGATTTGATAACAGCTACTCGAGCGCCTCCAAAGGAGACCTAACAACTCAAGAGTAACTGCTTCGCGAATGAATCCACTACCGGATCGGAAACGCGACTTGCTGAGAAGATCCGGCGAGAAACTCAGCGGGCTGATGTTAAGGTTAGGTTGGACGTCGAACTCTTTGCCTAGTTCGACGAGTATGGTTACCGGGGTCCCTACTCCTGGTTTTAGAGCTAAAGGTGTCTAAAGCAACGGTTTTTGAATTTGATGGATCCGTAAGGATGCGTCTAGGGCGTTGACGGTAACTGACTCGTACGTCATCAGGATTCGGGGAGTAGTTAGCGGTGGCAATGATAAGGCGATTATAGTGACGTACAGCCTTACTGAAGTACCGTTCCGACGCTGACATCATGTGTTTCGTGATGGATTCGAGGCCCAGGTCTTTGTGTAAGTCAACGTTCCTCACGAACTACGGAGATCCGACGGCTAGCCTGTAAAAGCAGGATTTTAGGGATTGGCGCTTGTCTATGTTTGTGCGGGCCGCGTGAGCGAGCACCACACCTGCGTAAGTCATGACGGGCCTTATGCATGTTTTGTAAAGTATCACCTGGTTCTGAAGGGACATTTTACTCCGCTTACAGGTCATGAAAGTAGAGTCTACCGAGAAGAAACGTAGCACGGTCGCAGACAGATTTTTTATATGGGGGCGGAATGTCCTGGATGCATTCAGGGTGGCACCCACGTACTTGACCTTCTTAGCTCGGGGTATGGGTTGGTTGAAGGGGGAATCGGGGGTGTGAGATTACTCCTCCTAATCCGGGAGAAAATCCGTGTGAAGTTTCCCTTTTGAAATAGCACCGCTGCGCTTTTCGCTGGGTTGATGTCTATGCCTTATTTTCGGAACCACTGTCCTAAGGTTATGGCTGCGCTCTGGAGTTTCCACGCAATAAGGGACTTGTTTCTACTCTAGTAAGCGGTCGTATCCTCGGTACGATGAATAAGACTAACTGGGTACCATTTTTAGTGGAGATCGTATCGGTGCTTGGAGAGTTCGAGTCGGATCTTCTTTTGGAAATAGTGGAGGTGTTGTTCATGAAGTCAACCGGCATATCATCCACCCTAATTACAATCACCGTACAGAGGACGCTGATGTGGCTATCATGCGTACAGTTTTACGGATTAACTTCGTAACTAATGCCGTGCAGCCAGCTCGTATTGCGGGTTCCAATTACAACCTTGCCGATAATCAAGTTGTTTGGGCAGCTGGATGGGGATCTACAATGGTAAGATATCACGAAAGTATATTTTGAATTATATCGAGCATCAGTTCTGTATCATGAGATTCAGAATTCTAGATTGCCCACATACTGTAACATAAGTTGTTGAGAGTATGTCAGTCTCTGGTACCGATAACACAAGTGTTGTAAGATATCTACAATAGTGCCTAGTACTGCCACCTAGGATAAATACATAGAATTAAAATTTTGAAGTCGTCGTGGCCTAACAGATAAGACATCCGGTGCATTCGTGTTGAGCGATGCACCGGTGATCGAATCTCAGGCGGTGACCAATTTTTCTAATTAAATACGTACTCAAAAAATGTTCACGATTGACTTCCACGGTGATGGAATAACATCGTGTAATAAAAATTAAACCCGAAAAATTATAATTTGCGTAATTACTGGTGGTAGGACCTCTTGTGAGTCCGCGCGGGTGGGTACCACCACCCTGCCTATTTCTGCCGTGAAGCAATAATGCGTTTCGGTTTGAAGGGTGGGGTAGACGTTGTAGCTATACTTGAGACCTTATAACTTATATCTCAAGATGGGAGGCGCATTTACGTTGTGGATGTCTATAGGCTTCAGTAACCACTTAACACCAGGTGGGCTGTGAGCTCGTCCACCCATCTAAGCAATAAAAAAAAAATATTATTATAATGCTTAGTCTTTCGTTTAACATCGAACACGTTGTTTCATTCATTGGTTATGGGCTCCTAAATAAAATAACACATTTTTTAACAAGTTTTTGGGACTGAATCGAATGTTAAAAACCAAAAAAAGGACCATCCATTGAAACGTGTGTTTTTACTGTACTGTGAAGTAAAATTATACTTATTTTTCGTGAAGTTGTGATTGTGCAGTTACAAAGTTACAACTTCTACGAACTATTTAATAAATGTACCCAAGCTAAAGGGTCGTGAAAATTATAACGAATGGTGTTTCGCGGCAGAGAATTTCCTAATCCTCGAAGGCCATTAGGTGAAGACAGAACCAGGGATGAACATAGGAAATGCAGATGACAGAAAAACCAGAGCATAATTGATAATGACAATGGACTCATCTTTGTATGCACATATAAAAAATTCAACAACAGCGAAGGAATTATGGGAAAAACTACAACAACTATTTGAAGACAGCGGTTTTTCACGAAAAACAAGCCAGCTGCGAAATTTAATCTCGATACGTCTAGAAAGTTGCAACTCGATGACGTCATATAGATTCAGATTATCGATACAGCTCAAAAATTAAGCAGAATCGTTTTTCCCCAATGATCATGGCTATCGAACATTCAGGTATTAGCATAACAGCATATTCCGTCAAATCAATATTGTTGGATCTGGAATTAGTGATCGAACAAGTTGAAGTTAGCGGCGGTTTTTCTACTCATTCATTGTTTACTAGAAAATCTAATACTAATTCGTCTATAGCAAAAAGTAATGTCAATGTTGGTAGCACAGATCCGGCAACTTCAAACTCAAAATCATAAGTCAAGATGGTGAAATCGAAATCGGTGTAAAGAGCAAGGACACTACAAAAATCAATGTACAAATAATGAAAGCAACTCATCGAACAAAAATAAAAGTAGATTATTGTCTAATTCGTTTAGCGCGGTGTTCATGAGTGGAAATTTTAACAAAGACGAATAGTATATTGACTCAGGAGCCGGTCTACACTTAACAGCCAATGAAAATTGGGTTAAGAAGCCATCATATGAACAGAAGAAGGAAATTGTTGTTGCAAACAGTGAAAAGTTGTCAGTTTCTGGCGATGTGGAGATTATAGCCCGAGAGCCCGTGGGATCTACCTGTATGTATTTGACCAGACCTGAATTTTCGTACATTGAGACCCCTATACCTACCATGCATGAGGTGGGGACTCACTAAGCTCAAAGTGGTCGACGCGCCGAGCGCTCAGGTAGGACAGGTACCGATTTTGACGGATTTTAAATCCATTTGACCACGTCTGCCGTTTTGAAATTTTGAAAATATATGATTATTATTATCGGAAAATAAGAATGGCAGACCATTATCGCGCATTTTACTTTGTGGCAGACCACTTTGAAAATGCTAAATTGCATTGAAAATGCAAAATTTTGAAAGTAATTGACTAGATCTGCCATTGATTTAATAATATGTTGTTTATTATAGTCTTAAAAACTTATATTGATCACGGCAGACCTCTACATTGCGTACATACATCAACATATAATAAAATCTTAGCTACTACCCGGCCAGATGTATATTATGTTTTCCGTTCACTGTTTTAGAGGAATATAATTTACTTGCGATTTACTTTAGCAATGTATTTACCGAAATTAATATTTTTTTATATTCTATATACTAAACTTCATTAGTTAGACAATAAAGAAGTGAATTTTTTATGGAATAATTATAAATAATACGGTATAATGCTGATCAAAAAATAATTCAATTCCTCATTTTTATCATTCAACATTTAACTTGCCAGCTATACAATGCCAAAAAATCTAGTGATGTAGATGATGGAAGGTTCCAGCTATTCGTTAGCAACTATAAATATTCAGACATCAATGAAAATTATAGAAAAAAAAATCAAAAATTTGAGGCAAGCTCAATACCACCGCATAAGAGTGAGCTTTATCAACAACTTTTGAGGGCCCACTATATTTCTTCTATTTGGAGAAATGCTTACAAAAAGCAACTGACAACTTTAGACCCATTGGAGTATGGTTGGATTGAGCAGGACAACATATATGCCTTCAAAGGGTTCGAAGGTGACCAACTTCCATATTTTGTGAGTGACTTAATCACCAATGTTCCTGGTAAGTTGATAACAATTCTTTCTCGAACATGTTCAGATGAATTTACGTTCATTTTACAATTTATGTTTTATTTTTGCAGTATTCGATTCAATGGTTGATGAAGACGAGTCGCCTAACGATAAAGATGACTCCGATGATGATGATGATGAATGAAGATTGATATATATAATATGTAATGCATGCAAGATATATTTTTTTAACTGATTTAACACTTTTAAATTTTGTCTTGACGAAATAAAAATGAGGAATTGAATTATTTTTTGATCAGCATTGTACCGTATTATTTATAATTATTCCATAAAAAATTCACTTCTTAATTTTCTAACTAATGAAGTTTAGTATATATAATATAAAAAAATATTAATTTCGGTAAATACATTGCTAAAGTAAATCGCAATTAAATTATATTCCTCTAAAACAGTGAACGGAAAACATAATATACATCTGGCCGGGTAGTAGCTCAGATTTTATTATATGTTGATGTGTGTACGCAATGTAGAGGTCTGCGGTGATCAATATAAGTTTTTAAGACTATAATAAACAGCATATATTATTATATCAATGGCAGATCTGGTCAATTACTTTCAAAATTTTATTTTTTTAGCATTTTCAAAGTGGTCTGCCACAAAGTAAAATGCGCGATAATGGTCTGCCATTCTTATTTTCCGATAATAACAATCATATATTTTCAAAATTTCAAAACGGCAGACGTGGTCAAATGGATTTAAAATCCGTCAAAATCGGTACCTGTCCTACCTGAGCGCTCGGCGCGTCGACCACTTTGAGCTTAGTGAGTCCCTACCTCATGCATGGTAGGTATAGGGGTCTCGATGTACGAAAATTCAGGTCTGGTCAAATACATACAGGTAGATCCCACGGGCTCTCGGGCTATTACGACGACCACTACTGATAATATAGATTATGACATCATAATAGAAAACGTCTTTTGTGTTCCAAGTATGATAACGAACTTGCTATCAGTTAGCAAACTCATAAGAAAAGGAAACAATGTATCGTTTTCCCTGGACGGCGCATCGGACAAACGCATCAATCCTGGAAGAACTAGGCGTCTCCTCAAAGACTCTCCACCACTTGCTTACGTAGGATTTTAGAGTTTTTCGGCCACGTTGCGAGGAAAAAAGGTGACAATCTCGAAAAACTTCTCATCACCGGCAAAGTGGAAGGAAAGAGGCCTAGGGGGCGTAGTCCCATGCGCTGGTCCGATCAGATTAAGACGACTTTGGAATCCAGCATCAATGTCGCTATCCACTGCGCGGAGGACAGGAGTGAATGGAGGAACATAATCCTAACAAAGGTGCTCCGTAAAGGTCACGACCCTCAGCACTGAGGAATACGACGCACGGAGAAGGAGGTATCGTTTTCAGATTCATCGTGGCTTTAAGGATAAGACGTCCGGTGCATTCGTGTTAAGCGATGCACCGGTGTTCGAATCTCAGGTGGATACCAATTTTTCTAATAATATACGTACTCAACAGATGTTTGACTTCCACGGTGAAGGAATAACATCGTGTAGTAAAAATCAAACCCGTAAAATTATAATTTGCGTAATTACTGGTGGTAGGACATCTTGTGAGTCTGCGCGGGCAGATACCACCACCCTGCTTATTTTTGCCGTGAAGCAGTAAAGCCTTTCGGTTTAAAGGGTGGGGCAGCCGTTGTCAACTCATATCTCAAGGTGGGTGGCACATTTACGTTGTAGATGTCTATCGGCTCCAGTAAATACTTAACACCAGGTGGGCTGTGAGCTCGTTCACCCACCTAAGCAATAAAAAAAATTACGGTTGTTCTATATTCAACAAAAAGAATGATTTAGTAGCTACAGCATTATTAATCAATGGAGTGTACAAGGTAAATTTGTTAAATCAAGTACATTTAGCTGCAACAGTCGTATCTTGAATTACGTGGCATTGCAGATTAGGACATATGAATAAAGACTAATTGAATCAGATGGAGAATTCTGTGCATGGCATGTCTATTGATGACAAAGTAGATACAGGCAAGTCTTCCTGTAGTACCTGTTATGAGGGTAAGCTTTGTCGCTTTCCATTCAAGAGTACTAGTCCGAGAAGTATTGATTTGCTAGATATAGTGCACACTGACATCGTAGTCCCATGGAAAACATATCCTTAGGAGCCTCGAGATATTTCTTGTTATTTGTCGATGATCATAGTGCTGGTGTGATTCATCAGAAGACAAATCCGTATACGTCACAACAGAATGGATTGTGTGAAAGATTTAATCGTACAATTGTTGAAAAGGCTAGATGCCTACTCTTTGATGCCAACCTAGATAAATCATTCTGGGGTGAAGCCACCACCACGGCGGTGTATTTACAGAGTCGAAGTGTTACTCCAACGTTGGGAAATAAAACTCCATATGAGATATGGAATGGCAGTAAACCAGGTATTAGTAATATCAGGATCATCGGTAGCACTGTGTTGGTGCATATAGCTAAAGGAAAACGTAAGAAGTGGGACAGAAATGTATTCCCATTGAATATCCAGAAAATATAAAAAAATATAGACTGTATAATCGAGAAACATAGAATGTGTTGACTAGTAGATACGTGATTATAATTGAACAGGAATCAAAACCTGAGTGTCTCATGGAAGTTCAGTCATAAAGTTTTGATTTTACTAGGGGAAGTTGAAGATAAGAAGACAGAATCTGATCCAGAAACATCTGGTTTAAATACTAGTCAAAATAACACAGAAATCTCAGATGAAATATATTTTGATATGAATGATGAGATAGACCAGAAATTATACAGTAAAAAAAATGTCTCCCAAAAATTCAAGACACACAAGAGAGAGAAAGAAGCCAGATTGGTACCTATCACATTTTGGTATGGGTGAGAATATCAATGATGATGCGGCGACTTTGTCTCTTTAAGAAGCTTTAAATGAACTAGAAAAAGATCAGGGGAAGAAGGCTATGGCTCAAGAACTACGTTGCTTCAAAGACAATCATGCTTGGAAGTAATGCTCGACAAGATAGTAGAGTTGTACAGTGCAAGCGGGTGCTACCTAACAAATATAATAGTGAAAATAATAGTCGATTTCGTGCACGTTTAGTAGATTGTATTGAGCGATCGAAGAGTTACCATCTGATACTTAATTCAAGAAACGGGCATTTCATATGGAAGTATTCAATTCATATTGAAACAATATTTGAATATGAGAAAAGTCTCCGCAAGATGGGTGCCGAAAATGTTAACCGACAGTCAGAAACAAAATCGACTTGCATTTCCAAGACATTGTTGGACAAGTTTCAAGAAGATTCTGAAAGCTTTTTGAGTAGTGTGTATTTGGCAAATTTGATAAGTTGTTTCAGTCAAATATTTTTTGCGTGTGTCAATTCGTTAGATATTTCCTCTCCATACAGGGTTGCCTGGAGGAGATTGCGCTATGGTTATTTCTCTTTCTTCTGATCTATGTATATATCGAAGGAGATGAATAGATATATCCTCTGACCTGGCTGATTTTTTATACGTTATTATTTTCCAGACTGGAAGTGGTTTTGCTGAACAGCTTCGACATGTTCAAGTTTGGACGATAAATCAGGCCATCTGTAGAGACCGATACTCGAGAATAAATAGACCGATCACCGACAATATGTTGTGCTCCGGCTGGCTTGACGTCGGCGGCCGCGACCAGTGTGGAGGTGATTCCGGTGGTCCTCTATACCACAGCGGCGTCGTCGTCGGGGTATGCTCGTGGGGATTCTCATGTGGAAGTGCATACTACCCTGGAGTAAATGCTCGCGTCTCTCGCTTCACTTCGTGGATTCAAAACAATGCTTAGATCAAAGGAACAGTTTAACAAATTATATTTTGAAGCACTTATAAATCTTGTTTGAATCAGATTCCTGTTATAGACAATCAAAATGGTTTTTTCTTTCTGTATGCCGGTTTGCGAAGTCCTTATGGTATTCAAGTAAGTTTCAAGAATGCACATGACTACGTGGCCGCCGGAAATTACATACCCGATCCTGTGAACCGAATGGTAAGCAGTCGACGTCGCCCTAAAAACGTCATTACGGATCTTGCCGATCCATTAACAGCGCTTTTCAGGAGGAGGAGGTACCTCAAGTTCCGGTCACAGTTCAGTAAATTAACCCATTAACACAGCACGCTGAGTTTCTCGCTGGATCTTCTCAGTGGGTCGCGTTCCCGATTCGGTAGATTCTGCGAAGCACTGCTCCTGCTAGGGTCAGTGTTAGCAACACCCCCGGTTTGAGCACCGAGAGCTCATTTACAGACTAGGGTAACGATAATATAGCCTCTCAAGGCTATCAGCATAGGTAGAAAAAAAACTTGGTTCACGAAATGAATTTCGTGTAACTATAAATATTTATAGTTAGTACACTGATTCACGACACACCTGGTGGTCTTGGTTAAAGTGGTTATCGGAGCCCCTCACAACATCAACTAGCTTAAGACTTGAGGTCGAAAGCAAAACATCATTCATTTACTAAAATCTGTATTATTGTATACTACAAATAGGTAAAGACAAAATGGCTCAGCTTCTTTCTTCTCTATTAGGCTACCAATTTTTATTTATTTAGTAACTACAGCAACATATTATGTGGCTATTATATAAAATAGCAACTGCCCATTTCTTTCCACGGATGTCGTAAACAGCGACTAAGGGATTTACCGGAGAATAGACAGCAGTGTACTCTGAGTATTATCAAGAGCGTACTACGATCGTCAACTGGAAATTACTTATGTAGGGCGTATTGCAAGCCCACACGGGTAAGGCTAGCTACAATCCTATTTAGTTCTGTCATAACTCATATCTTAAGGTGGGTGGCGGCATTTACGTTGTAGATGTCTATGGGCTCCAGTAACCACTTAACACCAAGTGGACTGTGAGCTCGTTCACCCATCTAAGCAGACAAAGAGTAAAAATACAATCTACTGGTGGTAGGACCTCTTGTGAGTCCGCGCGGGTAAGTGCCACCAGCCTGCCTATTTCTGCCGTGAAGCAGTAATGCGTTTCGGTTTGAAGGGTGGGGCAGCCGTTGTAACTATACGGAATCTGAGAACTCATATTTCAAGGTGGGTGGCGACATTTACGTTGTAGATGTCTATGGGCTCCGGTAACCACTTAACACCAGGTGGACTGTGAGCTCGTTCACCCATCTAAGCAATAAAAAAAACATAGTTTTCCCTTTCTCAGCAAATCAAAATTCAATTTTCGGTTATAAAATTTAACAGCTCAATCTCCTTAGTTATACTCTCTAAAATGGAAGTGTTACGTGCGCTGTATATTTTTGACGGGAAACCCGTCGATCGTCATCGCGTGCGTGTATTTTTACACGACAAGATCCTTCTAAGCAATAAAACTAAGGCACTACACAAGCAGTATCTACAGCCGGCATCATTGTGCCACTTTGAGAAGGCGGCAAGACATGAGAACCCTCTTGTCGTGGCCGCTGCGAATTACATACCCGATCCTGTAGACCGAATGGTAAACAGTCGACGTCGCCCTAAAAATGTCATTACGGATCCTCCCGATCCATTAACGGTGCTTTTAGGTACCACAAGCACCGGTCACAGTTCAGTAAACTAACCCATAGACACAGCCCGCTGAGTTTCTTGCTGGATCTTCTCAATGATTTGCGCTTCCAACCCGGTGGTAGATTCTGCGGAGCACTGCTCTTGCTAGGGCCAGTGTTAGCAGCACTCCGGTTTGAGCCCCGTGAGCTCACTTACACGTCAAGGAGAAGCTGATATAGCCTGTCAAGGCTATCAGCACAGGTAGGAAAAAAAAATGTGAGCCGTCACGGGACGCCTGGCAGATGTGAAACATCGACATTATTTTGTATAAGTAATATGCAGAAAAGAACAGATTGTGATAGGAACTAAATATGTCATAATGATAAAATAAAATATTACGAAAAAAGTAATTTGTTTTCAAGTAAAACACAGGTTATGTGTACTGTAGTAAACAACACTGTATACACTACGGAGTATACACTATAGGTATCCGAGCTCAGTGTAGCGAGAGAGATGGCTTAACGCCGGATCGAGTGGGAGAGAATCGCACAGTCGATTACGCATGGCGACGCGTCGCCACGGCATGCGTCGCCACGCCAGAAATCGGTTTTACGTGCGGCTATAGATGTTTGACATAAAAAAAAAAACTACACAAGCCCCCTCCCGTTAGTGGTAACACATTCAAGGACAGAAGCGAAGGTCTGCTACTTCCCTGCAACAGAATTTCAGACCCAAATAGTTATTCGCAGGTACTCTTTTTTTACGGACGCTTCCTACTCCACTCATGTCTTTCATCGCGAAGACATTTCATCGTACTTGATTCATATTTTCTTTCCAAATACCAAAAAAATAGCCTATATATAACTTTATGTTAGAGTTTTGATTTAATTCATTGCGAAATTATACTCCAAGATCAGTTTGTTGGGTTAAAAATAATAAATACCACGACATGGATTGCTTCAAATTCATTTAAAAATGAAATAGATCGCTAAGAAAACTAAATATAAATTAGTATATTTTTATTTATACTTTTATGATTACCATACTTGTTTATCATTACGTGGGTAAATGAGATGAAGGTCAACATGGTCCCAAGTGGTTACCGAGGTTCATTGATAAATGCATGTAGAATTAAAAAAAAACGAATTCAATATCCGATTGGGAGGAATATGTTTTCAATCTGAATATTTCGATAGACATTTAAATATGAAACGAATAACAACTTGACCGAATCAAGCTCTATCAGTTTCTGATAATTTTAATACCTGATATGACGATGTTGATTAAAATAATTAAGACGTATAAATAGCGAAGGAAAAACGTTAAAATTATTATTAGAAGAAATGCTTCAATCTATTGCTTTCCTGTTTTTACTTATTGGTTGGGCAAATGGTATGTAATACATCCAAAGGTTTATATGTTTCGTGACAACGAAAACTAAAAATTATTCGTTGGTGGTAGGGTATCTTGTGAGCCTGTACCTGTGGTACTTACCAGACCATTACCTTGCCTATGTCTGCCGCGAGCAGTAATGCGTTTCGGTTCGAAAAGTGGGGCCGCCGTTGTGCTATAGAACTGACGCTTAGAACTTATGTCTCAAGGTGGGTGGCGCATTTTCATTGTAGATGTCTATGGGCTCCCGTAACCACTTAAGATCAGGTGGGCCATGAGCTCATCTACATACCCAAGCAAAAAAAAGAAAAATTACTTGGTTTAGGTAGTAAAGAAGAAAAAAAAACAAAAAATCTTCATAATTTAATGAAAACATTAATCGCGAGAGAACATAGTAAGAGGCGTTTTAAAGCTATTATGTAATAGCTCACGGTAAATTGTATAGTTAACTATTGACTGTTGAGGTATTACTTTGCAAATTCTGCTGTTAACGTCTAATATAGAAAAAAAAACATTTTTTAAATAATTGCAGCTGTACCAACGAATCAGCAGCGGATTATTGGCGGGTCGGTTGTTACCATTGACCGATATCCCGAAGTTGCTGCCACGCTCGTCTCAAGTAATGGCATTCAATGGCTTCAAGGATGTGGTAGTTCTATTCTAAATAACAGAGCTGTCTTAACTGCAGCTCACTGTATATAGTAAGTGCATAACTATTTTACAGCTTAGCCATAAAACACTGTTACAATTAAACAACAAAAATATTGCATTTTAAATTGATCAATCGATTTCAATCTCGTAATTTTTGCACCAATTTTTGTTCTATTTATTACATTGATTGATTTCGTGATACGAATTTGTTGTACGAAGTTGTCATATTTGCCTATAGTAAACAGCCATACAAAACTAATAACTTCTATACTAATATATAAATCTACAGTGGTTTTTACGGATGTTTCGTTATAACTACCGAACCATGCATCCGATTGACTTGAAACTTGGCATCCATGTAGAAAATACATGTCCTTAATGGATAGGCTAATATTTATATGAGCGTTGGACTCCCTAATAATAATGACAATAAATAATAATGGTTATTTTAAATGTCCAACGAAGCGGGCGAGTACGGCTAGTCGTTTAATAAATATGTAACTTTTTTATCCGCTTCGTTTGATAATACACACAAAAATTAAAATTATTCAAAATAGCTTTGGCAATAGAACGAGAAAACATTAATATTTATTTTTAAATGAGAGGTTCGAAATTAAATAAAGGAATAAGATTTGTGTCGTCGGATGATAACAGAGACAATAATAATTGTGCTGGTTTATAATTTTTTATGCGTTCATGTATGACTGTACGTATTGTACATAAAAATTAATAGTAAAAATTTTTTTTCAGTGGTGTGATGCGTATCAGAGTTGGTTCGGCATTCGGCAACAGTGGCGGTAGGGTACATCAAGTGAGCAGATACATTCCGCATCCTAATTACGTGGCTGCGACCTTCGAGAGTGATGTTGCCATCTTACATGTTTCAACTCAAATCGTTTATGTCAACAACGCCGTGAGACCGGCCAGGATTGCTGGTTCCAACTACAATATTGCTGATAACCAGGTCGTATGGGCCACTGGATGGGGATCCATGTCGGTTAGTTGTGGATGTTAACTTTATTATATTGCTTTAACTGGGCAGACCATGTTTTGTCGTCGTGGCGTAAAGGAGAAGACGTCCGGTGCATTCGTATCTAGCGATGCAACGGTTGACGAATCACGACGACGATTGACTTCCACGGTGAAGCAATAACATCGTGTAGTAAAAATCAAAACCGCAAAATTATAATTTGCGTAATTACTGGTGGTAGAACGACTTGTGAGTTCGCACGTGTAGGTACTACTGCCCTGCCTATTTCTGCCCTAAAACAGTAATGCGTTTCGGCTTGAAGGGTGGGGCAGCTGTTGTAGTGTAAAAACTGAGACCTAAGAACTCATATCTCAAGGTGATGGTGGCATTTACGTTGTATATGTTTATGGGTTCCGGTAACTTAGCACCAGGTGGGCCGTGAGCTCGTCCACCCATATAAGCAATAGAAAAAAGTCCTTCTAGTATTAAATGATCATCGCAGCCCGTAGATGCGAAAACTTGTGAATGCTGCCTCTCCAGAGATATAAGCTCATAAGCTCAATTGGATTATATAACAGCTATTCGACCCTTCTAATCGGGATGCATTATTGAGTATGCAGAAATAAACATAAGTGCGGGTTCTATATTAATCTTTTTATGTTGGCAATAAAAACAAAACGAAGAAAAACAATAGCTTAAAAATTATGTTACTTTCATGTTGGTTTTATAGGTTTGTACAAATCCAAAAATTTGTTTCAGCTTGGTGGCGCGTACTCGGAACAGCTTCGTCATGTCCAAATCTATACTGTAAACCAGGATTTGTGTAGAGCTCGTCACAGGACCGCTATCACTGCCAACATGTTGTGTGTTGGTAGACTCGGCGTTGCTGGATTCGGACAGTGTGGTGGTGACTCCGGAAGTCCTCTGTTCCATAACGGGGTTGTCGTCGGTGTTTGTTCCTTTGGTGTAGGATGTGGTGATAGCTACCACCCCACGGTTAATGTTCGTGTTTCACGTTTTACGTCATGGATTCAGAATAATGCATAGAAATAAATCTAGTTTTCAAGAAGTTAAATTCTTATTACTTGAAAATATCAATAAGTACATTCGCCCCTTAAACAGAAGGTCATACTCCCCCGATCACCCTCTTCGGCCAACTCATACCCTGGGCCAGGAAGGTCAAGTACCTGGGCGTTACCCTGGATGCATCGATGACATTCCGCCCGCATATAAAATCAGTCCGCAACCGCGTCGCGTTTATTCTCGGCAGACTCTACCCCATGATCTGTAAGCGGAGTAAAATGTCCCTTCGGAACAAGGTCACACTTTACAATACTTACATAAGGCCCGTCATGACTTACGCGAGTGTGGTGTTCGCTCACTCGGCCCGCATGCACATAGACACCCTCCAATCCCTACAGCCCGCTGAGTTTCGCGCCGGATCTTCTCAGCGGGTCGCGATTCCGATCCGGTAGTAGATTCATTTGCGAAGTGGTTGCTCTTGAGTTATTAGGTCTCCTTCGGAGGCTCTCGGGCAGCTGTTAGCAAATCCCACCCCTCCTGGCTGAGCCTTTGCTCGCCCACCTCTCCTGGTGAAACTGGAAAGGCCTCCGGGCCACCAGTAATCCTTCAATCATAAAAAAAAAGATAAAAGACATGAGTGGAGTAGAAAGCGTCCGTAAAATGAGTTCGAGAATTAGTTCGAAACATAATCAGAACCTGTTTTTGTCTGTAATTTCGGAATAAAAGTTTATTTAAAGTACATATTATTAAGGTTCTTTGAAACTTTTTCTTTATTTATTTTCCTGGGCATGTGGGAACACGGGCCCAAAGATGGTAATTAGGGCCCTATCCACTAAACGACTCGCCTGCGCTCTCGACCAAGCATCAGGAGCTGGGGAAAGTAAGGGGGTTACCGCGGTCGACATTGCAATACAAATACGCGGCTTACCCCAAGGACACTCGGCCGATGGAACTTTCGAGGCGAAGAGGGAAGGCGAACAACGAAGACCCTGAAACGTCAGCCGTCTCGGTACAGCAGCCAGTCATGCCACGGGGATGGTGAGGCTGGTGTCCCGGAGTTCTCCACTGGATAGTTATTTAGACTTGACTAAAACCTAAACACAATTTTTTTGGTTCTTTTGTCTATTTGTTGTTTATTCGTTTATTTGCTTTATTCGATCCGATTTGCGAAAAGTCTCAAACAACTCCATTGGCTGGTAGAGGTTCTCTATGAAATATAATTAACTCGTGGCGACTAAAAAGGCTATTACCACATCTACGTAAAAAGACTTAAACATACTTGGAGAAAGTCGAAAAGACAGATGATCCACTGAGTTTCTCGCCGGATCTTCTCAGCGGGTTGCGTTTCCGATCCAGTGGTAGATCCTGCGAAGCACTGCTAGGACAAGTGTTAGCAACGTCCTCAGGATAAAGACCAGTGAACACATGGATTTGCTCGGTTACGTTGGCATAAGCCTCTAGGTTACCAGATTAGGTAGGGAAAAAATACCCACAATACATTCCGGCTCGAACAGTCGAACGAGGCGGAGTTTTCTGTTGGTGTACACTTGAAATTCAATAAATGGAATCTTATTTACTGTCACTATCAAAGTCAATGTTGGAAATGGGGAAGGGTAATACTTTTTAAATATCAATATAAGCCTCTGATCTTATTCTGGTCATCGGTTCTACTATAGCTTACAAATTCATACGATCTCGCCACGAAGCGAACTCTAGTGAAGTTATTTTTAAACTGAGAATTATAGCAAAACCAAAGCAAGCGAGCAATCACTTTTCTATTTTGAACAAACAGAGTTTCTACTTACAATTTATCTCGAAATCAGTAGCAAAGTGAACTTCGTGCTCAAGTTTTGGCTTTTAAAATCTTTGTTCGCTCCAGCAGAGGCGAACGTCAACCAACAATGACACTACCGCAGACTTATCAGGTGACTGTATGATAATAGTATTTTAAATGAGTTGTAATAAAATTTTCCAAAACAATGTTATAAAGTCGAATACTAATTAAGTCTAAGCTCTGTGTTTACATAGGTAAAACTTAATGAGGATTAAATTTATTATTCTCTAATAGTTAATAATGTTTGAATTTTTTTTATTGCTCTTGTAGCTGCTGCAGCTTGACTCTGCTCCTGGCATTGCTGACGTCCGTGTGCGATGGTAACCACTCACAATCAGGTGGACCGTATACTCGTCTGCCTACATGAGTAATAAAAAAAATGAGTAAGAAGCTGAAAAAAAATATTAAAAAAATAGTGCAGTGCCGGTGCCAAAAACGTTTGTGAATATTGTTTTATTTATTTATTTTATTTATTTATTTATTTATATACACACAGAAAAAAAAAGACATAGTACAGAGTAATAGGAAAATTATGTACAAAGGCACTGCTTATTTCTTTAAGAAATCTCTTCCAGCAGACCTGCGAGAGGATAATGAGAATAATAATAAAAAGTGATAAGTGTATGTAGAACAAATAACACATAACTAAAATAACAAATACAACATGAGAATTATAGTAATGCACATACACATACCATGTTTTAATCAATCGGCATAGAAAATTCTCGAACGTGTAAATTCAAATATGCAACAAAGGGCTTCAGAGTGAGTCAAACAACTTATCCTTTTTCCCAGAGCCAAAAGCATCAATCGTTTAAAATATAACTAGCACTTGATCTTGTGTCTCAAAGTCAACGGTCCAGTAACCATTTATTACCAGTGTGCTTAGTGCGAGTTTGTTAACTTCTCGTTCGCGTAAAAGTTAACCCAAATTTGTATGAAGTTGCAAAAGCGCCCCTAGCAGCAAACGCAGCACTTCCTTTTTCCAATTCAAGTACGTTCAGCCGTTACGCAATAAATATTAATAATCAAATTTTAATTAATAACAATCATTAATAATTAGTTTTCGGAACAAACGTTATCGTTCCCAGATAATTTTAATGCCTGATATAGCACAAATTACTCTTTAAGATGTATAAATAGTTTAGTTAAAAAAGTAATGACCATTATTAGAAGAAATGCGTCAGTCTATAGCTTTTGTGTTTTTAGTTCTTGGTTGGGCGAATGGTATGTAATAAAATACAGTTCTTTTTTTAATTCTCTCCAAACTATGACTGATTTCCGTGTGAACAAAAACTGTATAGTATTTAAACAGTCTTAAATTTTTAAATAAACATAATAATCTCGATGCGAAACCGTAAGAGTACTTTCAGAAAAAATTTTTAACAGTAAATACAGATTTGCGTGAAAGACGATATGTGTAAGAGGTTAGTGAGCTAAGAAATAGTATATCATAGAGGAGTATGGAAGGAGAAAACATGTTGCGCCAACCCCAGGTGACTGAAAGAAGGGCAGGAGAATGATGAATGATGATGATTAAATACTGGATTTAGGTGTTGAGGTTTTGTCTTTATGATCTTTTAATAAATAAATAAAACTTTTTTTTTTACAGCTGTACCAACTAATCAGGACCGAATTACTGGAGGCTCGGTTGTGACCATCGACCGGTATCCCGAGCTTGCTGCCACGCTAGTTACCAGTGACGGCGTCCAGTGGTTTCAAGGATGCGGCAGTTCTATCCTCAACAACAGGGCTGTCCTAACTGCAGCTCACTGTTTATTGTAAGTGAAATCATAATAATGTGAACTTATTTCAGTGCTTAAACAGAATCCAAAAAATTAAGAAAAAAAATGAAAAAACATAAATTCAACTAAAAATTAAAAATAAATAACAGTTTAAAAAAACTAACAAAATACGCTTTTATAGAAAATCCAACTAAAAAATAGAAAATGAATTTTAATTAATTTGAACATCTTGCAGGATATTATCAAAATAACCCTCTACTCATATCTGTTCATAAAATATTTAGAACTACTTATACCATGCACCCCACGCTTTTTTAACAATAAAATCATTTTTTCTTACACTATTTTTAATTCAAATTTATTAAAAGTTATTTTCTATGTTTTAGTTGGATTTTCTATAAAAGCGCATTTTGTTAGTTTTTTTAAACTATTATTTATTTATTCTATGGTTTGTTCATGGTTTTTGCAGCGGTGTAATGCGTGTTAGAGTTGGTTCATCATTCGGCAACAGTGGCGGCACGGTCCATCATGTGAGCAGATACATTACGCACCCTAATTACGTCGCTGTGACCTTCGAGAGTGACCTTGCCATCTTACATGTTTCAACTCAAATCATTTACGTCAACAACGCCGTGAGACCGGCCAGGATTGCTGGCCCCAACTACAATGTTGCAGACAACCAAGTCGTATGGGCCACTGGATGGGGATCCATGTGGGTTAGTTATGGATTTCATTTTTATTGCTCTAGGTGGGCAATGAACTCATGTCGCACCTGGTATGAAGTGGTCAGGACCAACCTTCAATTGTTGTCAACAACAATGATACATGACGTCGAAATCTCAATTATGTATTTTGTAACCACTGTCCTGTATTCAAATCGGTATACGTTGTTACATCGTGGCAGAAATAGTAGTACCTACCCGTACAAGGTCAAAATAAAGGCCTGAGCAATAGAAAAAAAGAAAATCGAAGTCAGCTTAATAATTATTTAATTTAAAAACTTGCAACGATAGTTTTGGTTTTATTCATGTAGCTACTAAACAATGGAAGAGATGTCAGAAACAAAATCTGAATTGCATTAATGACATTTTGAAGACAATTTTGCCAGTATACAAGTTCCGAACAACAACATTCGAACCGTTGCTCTGCCGTACAACAACAACCGCTCGGTAGAAGATCTTCCCTTTGTTGACATGCCCGTCCTAAGTTGATTTTGTACAAGTGACAATTTTGTTTCAGCTCGGTAGTGGTCGTTCAGAACAACTTCGTCATGTCCAACTTTATACTGTAAGCCAGGACCTGTGTAGAGCTCGTTACACTACCGTCCCTATCACTGCCAACATGTTGTGTGTTGGTAGACTCGGAGTTGATGGATTCGGACAGTGCGGTGGTGACTCCGGTAGTCCTCTGTTCCACAACGGGGTTGTGGTTGGTGTATGTTCCTTCGGTGTAGGATGTGGCCACGACTATTTCCCCACCGTCAATGTTCGTGTCTCACGTTTCACATCGTGGATTCAGAATAACGCATGAATGTAGTTTTATTTTCATGAAGCTAATATATATTTTTTACTTTTCAAGTTAAGACCATATTTTTTAATAAAGGTTTATTTTTGTGCGTTCTTTTTAATAGTTTCATTTTCTTTAGACAAATCATTATATTCAAAATTTTTACAGAATATTTACAACCAAAATGACCAAAGCTACAGAACACAATCAGTATATCTATGTAAATAAATAAGCACTATAAATCTATTATAATAAAATGTCAGTCGGTTATTTTAGAATTTTAGAATAAAGGTTTTTTAAGTTTTATATGCTTATTTTCTATTTTTTTTAATTGCTTAGATGGGTGGACGAGCTCACAGCCCACCTGGTGTTAAATGGTTACCGGAGCCCATAGACATCTACAACGTAAATGCCGCCACCCACCTAGGGATATGAGTTCTAAGGTCTCAGTATAGTTACAACAGCTGCCCCACCCTTCAAGCCGAAACGCATTACTGCTTCACGGCAGAAACAGGTAGGTTGGTGGTACCTACCCGTGCGGATTCACAAGTGGTCCTACCGCTACTAATTACGCAAATTATTTTTAATTGTGCGAGTTTGATTTTTACTACACGATTTTATTCCTCCACCGTGGAAGTCAATCGTGAACATTTGCTAAGTACGCATTTCATTAGAAAAATTAGTACCCGCCTGGGATCCGAACAACGGTGCATCGCCCAACATGAATGCACCGGAGGTCTTATCCATTAGGCTACGACGACTTCTAAAAATTTTATTGTTGATTATATCTATTGAAGATATACTATGTATATTTTAATGAAGTTTTACTGGGTGCGGGCCGCGTAGCTTACTCGCATATACCATAAAGGGACGGGGCATGTTTTACAAAGTCGGTACTTAAAATTTATAATTTTTAATCCGTTAATATTTATGAAGTCCGAAAATGAATGTCTCAAATAAAAGAAAAAACTAAAGTCAATCAGCAGTGACCACGAAAACTGTAAATAAAGTATTCGAATCGTGGAAAATAATCTGATTACAAGAAAAACAGGAGACTGAATCGATAGATTACTTTTAATTAAAATAAATCTAAAGCACTATTAACATGTTTGTTGTTAACTTACAGGAAATAGACAAAAAATTGATTTGATCATTATCTAAAAATTATACGATTACAAGTTAATGACTTTATTTTTATGATGATTATCGGCAATAATTTGGTATTTCCTTTTTTACAGTAAACTAGGATTAGTCCTAAATCTCAAATCAAATCAGATTACATAGTATGTATCGATTTTATGAAGTTCAACAAATCAGAGAATCGATATAATTACGATATACTGAATTGTTTTATTTATTCATAGTTTTCTTATCGTCGAAGCGGGCCATTTAATACAGGATAGTTCCTCCTACTCCTTGCTTCGTGTTCCTCAGAGTTGAGGGTCGTGATCATCACGGAGCACTTTTGTTTGGACCATGTTCCTCCATTCATTCCTGTTCTCTGCGCAGTGGATAGCGACATTGATGCTGGAGTCCAATATCATCTTAATCGGATAGGACCAGCGCATGGGACTACGCCTCCTACGCCTTTTTCCATGCACTTTGCCGGTAATGAGTAGTTTTTACAGATTGTCACCCTTTTTCCTCGCAACGTGACCGAAAAACTAGAAAATTCTACGTAGTTCTTCCAGGATTGATGCTTTGGTCCGATGTGCCCTCCAGAAAACCCACAGCATCTTTCTCCAGCACCACATCTCAAAGGCGTCGGCCCGATTTCGATCAGCCTTCCTTAGAGTCCATATATCCACCCCATATAAGAAGATAGAAAACATCAGACTTGTCACAAGTTTACGGTTGGTTTTTATGGAGATGTTTCTATCGGACCAGATGCTATCGAGCTGAGACATGGCACTTTTTTCTTTCCCTATACGACTTTGTATCTCAGGTTCGTACAATCCACTATTCGCAATCATGGAGCCCAGGTATATGAAGCTGTCCGTTGTTTCAAGATGCAGTAATACCGTGTGCTCCAGTTTGCCTTTGCACTCTATTACCATCACTTTTGTTTTTGATCGGTTAATAGCAAGTCCAAGGTCGAGGCTTATGCTTTCAAGCTTATTCATGAGAGCAGCCATCTCGCTTTCATTGGCCGCGAGAAGAGTGGTGTCATCTGCGTATCGGAGGTTGGTCAATTTTACCCCACCTATAGTAACTGCACCACCTCAGTCTTCAGAAGTCCGTCTCTTGATATACTCTCCACAGATAGTAGAAAAGACTGGAGATAGAGAGCTGCCTTGCCTTTCGCCTTTCTTAAATTTAAAGGGGGCAGAGAGTGTTTTTCTACTCTGATGACAAGTAGGACAAGATGTTGCGATACTCATAAATCCCTCAGTATTTTCCACAGATGGTCACATTTGACGCAATCAAAGGCTATACTGTAGTTAATAAAACATATGACCATCGGGGTGGCGAACTCATATGATTTTAACTGGTAGTAGGACCTCTTGTGAGTCCGCACGGATAGGTACCATCGCCTTACCTATTTCTGCCGTGAAGCAGTAATGCGTTTCGGCTTGAAGGGTAGGGCAGACGTTGTAACTATACTGAGACCTTAAAACTCATATCTCAAGGTGGGTGGTGGCATTTACGTTGTATGTTATCTATGGGCTCCAGTAATTACTTAACACCAGGTGGGCTGTGAGCTCGTCCAGTCATAAAAAAAAACTCTGGATATGCTGCCTGATATTGAGGATTTGTTCACGTGTTCCCTTCCCTTTAACGAAGCCAGCAGAGCTTGCTTCTGGGGAATTTGCCAATCTAGGAAGTGGCACAAGCGCGTCTAGATTATGTATAGTAGAACTTTGCTGCAATGGGAGAAAAGGGCTAACGTGCGATAATAGATAATAGAGCTCCTTTCCCTTTTTTAAGAAGCAGCAATATGATCGATTCAGTCCGGTCATTAGGCCACTCGCCATGTTACCATACGTAATTACAGATGCTATGCACTGTATTCGCATCATTATCTCCCAGCGATTTAATTATTTCTGTCGTGATATGATTCGATCCTGGAGCTTTATTACTCTATAGTTGAGAGATGGCTTCTATTACTTCTGATCGTATTGTTGAAGGTTCTAAGGTTATGTCATCCCAGACTGTGGGTTGTGCAATGTTACATCACTACCTCTACGTCATTACAGCGTTGACTAGACTATTTTTGTTCATTAGTTCTATTGCCCGTCACGGGTCCACGTCCAAATGTTTCATTAAAAGAAAAACAAACGTACCACATTTCGACTCCAAGCTAGTACCTTTCCCTGTGCTATGTCTTCATAAGGCATGAAATTGTCAATGTTTTTTTTTTTTATTGCTTAATTGGGTGGACGAGCTCACATCCCACCTGGTGTTAAGTGGTTACTGGAGCCCATAGACATCCACAACGTAAATGTGCCACTCATCTTGAGATATAAGTTCTAAGGTCTCAAGTATAGTTACAACGGCTCCCCCATCCTTCAAACCGAAACGCATTACTGCTTCACGGCAGAAATAGGCAGGGTGGTGGTACCCACCCGCACGGACTCACAAGAGGTCCTACCACCAGTAGTTACGCAAATTATAATTTTGCGGGTTTCATTTTTATTACACGATGTTATTCCTTCACCGTGGAAATCAATCGTGAATATTTGTTGAGTACGTATTTCATTAGAAAAATTGGTACCCGCCCGAGATTCGAACACCGGTGCATCGCTCAACACGAATGCACCGGACGTCTTATCCGTTAGGCCACGACGACTTCCAATGTATTCCTTAGGCTGAACTTAAATTTTCTTTTTAGATTGTCTTATGCACGGGAACCCGTAGTAACAGTTCAATGCCCGAATTATGTTACTATTTACAGGTGCTTAGTAAATTTGTTGGTCAGTTTAATAATTTAAAAGTTTATTAGATGTACTTATAAAATTGGCCATAATCTGGTCTCCAGCTTACTTAATATGCGACGATACTACTGTACTGATTCTACTGTGGCCAGTTTTGGTCTAAGGTGACGACGGTGAGGTAACGTAAGCCTATTGCCAACTAAGAGATATTTCGTATACTGAAGTTCATTCATGGCTGGTATCTGATTCCAGCTGTACAAATACCTTACTTAAATAGTTCTATCGAACAAAGTCAAACCAACAGCAGTGTGGTTAAGATAAGAATAGAAGTAGAGACCACCATGTTGCTATTGAATTATCAGTAACGTCTCTGTAAAAAATATTTCTTCACACATGTTTTTTTAAAACAAATTGTCTTATTATAATTCAAACAAGTTTTCACTAATATTAATGGAAAGTTACTAACAAACATCTTTCATAAAAGTGTCTGTATTTTGACGGCACAATGCGGATACTGAAAGATTACGATTATATGTGTAAAAATTATATAAACTAAGCCCAGTCATAATGATTTTAAATACTGGCGCCTAGGTTTAAATTTATCATTTTTATATTAGCTCGAAGCTTATGGTATCTACAGCAGATTTATTGAGCAAAAACTTATGCGAGAGTGTCTGTTTATAAAGGTGTCTAAAATATTATGTTTAAGGGTGATTACTTGAACACTTTTACTCAATTTTTGGTTCTAAGTGTGATTTATTAATTTTGATATTATTTTTATAAGTATAATATAATGTTTATGTGTATGTATATAATTTAAAAAAAACAATATCACATTAATATTTATAGTTGAATAGACACCGTGGAAGTCTTGGGTTACAATGATTAGCCATTGTGAATAAACCAGGGAAGATTCTTGATCTTCGATCTTGATATCATTGGTCGGTTAATAGACACTAACACGGTCGGTACACCAACCGTCTGAATTTTGTTATTCGTAACACACTATGCAACTTTATCTTGTAAAGGCTATTAGCGTGATTCTGGGTTTGACTGGTATTGTGCGACCTATCGTAAGAACTATAGAATGATATTTGTTCCAATATTAATGAAAACCGGAACTTGGCTTGACGATGTTAGTCATAAAAATAATATAAAAGTATTTCTTTGGTTTTCGAGACTTGTAGTGATCGACTTTTTATTTTTATTATAACAATATTACGTCCAGCAGTGGATGTCTGTAAGCTGAAAGACAGATAGATAGATTTCCGAAAAAGTCCAAAAATAACTTTTATAGAAAAATAGACGGTAGGTAGTTAGCATAATATTCATATGATGGCGGTTTTTTTCTCAGTTCAAGAACGTCCACTGTTATAAAAATGTTAAAAGTATGCGAAAAAATTTTAATCAATATATCAAATAAGAGAAATAGAAGTGGAAAAGTCTTGTACACACGTTATATTCATTTCACGAACAGCACGTGTTTTCTCTCACATGATGATATTACACAGGCCGATGTTTTTTATTTTAATTATTTCTGTTTGATATGTAAAATACGCTTACGTTACAAGTCTGGTAACTAAAGCCACCTGTTTCAAAATTGTGTTATTGTGATTATCGCATCCAAAACCTAGAGATTTAGTAAGCCGATTATTTATATTAATCTAAGTATTACTCAATGGACGTGTTGATAAAGTAATGGATAGGTTATGAATTGTATTTTGTTGGCGTAAGCCGTGTTACACGATCTACTCTTTTTTTTAAGCTACCTAGTTGGTAACCTAAGTGGCTATTCCAGTTTCGCGCGGACGGGTAGTTGAGTTCACGGGCTCAATCTCAGAGAATTTGTTAATTCCAGCAGTGCTTCACAGAATCTACCATCGAATCGGAATCGCGACGTACTGAGAAGATACGGCGAGAAAGTCAGTGGGCTGTGTCTATGGGTCGATTTACTAAACTATTTGTATAAGTTACTTTGAAATTAGTGGTCACAGGGGTAGAGTTCGAGGGATAGGACAGTCGTTACCCTATTAAGACTTCGTATCTGAAGATGGTGGTGTTCACATTCCGATCTCTATAGGCTTCGGTAACCGCTTGATACTAGGAGGGACATGAGCTACACTACCCATCTAGAGGAATAACAATTTTAAATGTTATGTTATGAAGCAAGGTAAAAAAATATATAGTGGCACAGTTGAGATGTTTCATTCAGAAAAATTACTCTCTTTTTTGTTTTTTTTCTACCTAAGCTGATAGCCTTGAGAGGCTATGTCAGCGTAACCGGGCGAGTAGGTGAGCTCACGGGGCTCAAACTGGGAGTGTTGCTAACACTGGCCCTGGCAAAAGCAGTGCTTCGCAGAATCTACCACCGGATCGGAAACGCGACCCACTGAGAAGATCCGACGAGAAATTCAATGGGCTGTATCTATAGGTTAATTTACTCGTCGAGCCCTTCGTCACGAGCAACGGGTTCAGCGAGGACGGTAACCGGTGCTTGAGGTACCTAAAAGCATCGTTAATGGATCGTGAGGATCTGTAATGATGTGTTTAGGGTGACGTCCACTGTTTACCATTCGGTCCACAGGATCGGGTATCCTTCTTTTGTGCTGGCTTCTAGTCCCATATTACACGGTTTCACACAACACATGGCTTTGTAGGTACATATCTAACGTGTTATAGAAGGGTTACTAGTGCTATAAGATATAACATGACCTATTCCTAAGCAAATGAAATAATATTTTAAACAAAAAAAAAATTAAACACGATACGTATTTGAACACACAAAGATTAACTTTTGTTTACAAGAGACATGTCATACGTTCACTAGACGGATTCTTAGCATTACGTACATATATTGACAATAGATAATATTAACGTGTAGTAAGCAGCACGATGTGCACAGAATTTCATTCCTACCAAAAGCGTCTTTAGTGGATTGTCACCAGTGAAAACGATAAATCGATGACAACTAAAAAATATAAACTGGTACCGCCGGACGGAGGATGGGGCTACTTGATTTGTGTCTCCGCGATAGTTAATATTGTGAGTTCCTTTAAATAATAACACTTCTAATATATTCCCTTCTTAGGAAACAAGGGTTGCATTTGGTCCAAACAAACGTATTCTCTCTGTCGCGATTTCGATCCGGTAGTAGATTCATTCGCGAAGCAACTGCTCTTGAGTTGTTAGGTTTCCTTCGGAGGCGCTCGGGCAGGTGTTAGCAAATCCCATCCTTCCTGGCTGAGCCTTTGCTCGCCCACCTCTTCTGGTGAAACTGGAAAGGCCTCAGGGCCACCTGTAATCCTTCAATCATAAAAAAAAGATCCAAAATGTATAATTCATGTTATAATGACATACGCTTACAAAGGTATGATGCTATTTTAAAAAACACAAGAGAACGAGTCCATAGAAATCGTAAGACCAGTGAATGAACTGCCACATTGAGACACAAAGTCAAAGCCTCAATTGTGATTTATATAAGAGCCATCCCATACTCCAAGAGTAGGATAAAATAGAATGGGGGGAAATAGAAGGGGTTTACATTGAGAGATAGTACATAAAGATACTCCCTTTTTTATATTTATTTATTAGGTTCACACAACTGGATAATATCTAACCACGTTAACATTTAACTTAAATAGAAACAAAAAATTCACCATGAATTCACCCTTTTGGGTGAGAGCATCACTTGTATAACTCATTTCTCTATAAGTTAATTAACAATTAAATTATAAAATATCATGATCCTGTTCAATGAATAGCTCTTGGAAATAAAATCGCATAATGAGACATGCGATTTGTACGAAGTCATAGCATCGACTATCCTGGAGACTCATTTTTTTAGGGTTGTCACTACCATATTTTTCCTGCCCACGTAACCAGAATACTCTAGAATGCGTTTGAGACAGGTTTTTTAATAATCTTCTGATCCGATATTTATGGCGTTTCGTATTCTCTATAGTTATCGTGGTCACCGAAGACTACTATACGGACCACCACGAAAACTGTAAAGTTTTAATTTAAATACAAATCGCTAAAGCCAAATAAAATACTAAATATACATTCTGATTAAAATACGGTCTGATTTGCTAAATACATTATTGTAATGCTGAGTTTTAAAATGAGCTGTATAGTGCACACACATCTTAGTAATTTTTTTCTTGATTCGGTTATCTTCAAGATACTTTATCGGTTTGTGTAAGCATTGTGCTTACTTAATCTTTTACGTAATATTTTGTGTGCATTTCCTTGTTTACCTACTATCTTGTTCTGTGGCAGAGTGGTAAATAATAATTATTTGTCTCCTCCACATTGCTCGATCTTCTGCATCGTTTACGGTATAAAATTTCTAGGAGCAAGCTTAGGGACCGCGGTAACCGTACTTGTCGAACTCGACAAAGAGGTCGATGTACAACCTAACCTAACCATGCACTAGCTCGCTGAGTTTCTCGCCGGATCTTCTCAACGGATCGCGACTCCGATCCAGTAGTAGATTAATTCGCGAAGCAATTGCTCTTAAGTTGTCAGGTCTCCTTCAGAGGCGCTCGGGCAGTTGTTAGCTAATCCTGGCTGAGCCTTTGCAGCCCTCCTGGCTTTTGCTCGCCCACCTGTCCTGGTGAAACTGGAAAGGCCTCCGGGCCACCAGTAACCTTTCAATCACATAAAAAGGTATTAAATCTTGCATTTACAATTTACAACTGAACTTATATATTTCCAGACCACAACTACAGCTCTGACTCCAAATTTCGGGTTGCTATACAATGATTTCATGTTAGAAATAGGAATGACTTCAACTGGAGCCACATTATTGAATGCGACAAATTCAATCTGCATGGCTATAGCAGGTTGGTATCTAAATAAATTTTATAAACAGAGACAGAGGAGAAATGATTATAGGAATACTTTAAACATGTAGAGGGATTGAGGTCTTTCTGCCTATTAACACCGTTTTTTTGAGGGAATTAAAAAAAAAAAAGAGGGGTTCATATAGATGCCAGATATATTGCCTAGCGTCGAACCGCTCGCTATTACGAGTATAATAGGAATCACTAGTTACAATTGGAACCGATTGGAACTACATTGCAGCGTGCTTATAGCGGTTCTTCCAGTTTTTTTTTAAATATTGATCAAAGGTATGTGGTATTGTAAGCCCACACGGGTAGGTACTACAATCTGACCTATTGATAAACTGACCTCAAGTCTCAAGGTCTATGATAGTTGGCTGTGATATCTATAGATCTGTAACCACCTAAGACCAGACGGGCCTTGAGATCGTTTACCCGTCTATGTAATTAAAAAAAAAACAATCATTTAAAACTCTGGGACTATAATTTACGACATCTGCAGAATGAAAGTATGTGTTTTTGTACTTGAGTGAGAATTACCGAAATTCTTCTTCTTCTACGAAAAACAGAGTGTAAAATCGCGGTGTTCACGTTAGGCCCCTACTGAATAGTCAAAAATAATAAATTTCACACGTTATTGAATTATTAAACCCACCTTGATAACCCTGTTTGTGCAGGTTTCCTGACAGATCCACTTCTGAAATTGATGTCTATGCGTAAACTAGCTTTTGCAGCAGCGATTATTTTTGACATTGGTTTTTTTGGAGTCTTTTTTGCTAATTCCGCCCTTCAGTTTTTCATTTTAAATGGAGTCATGCAGGTGCGTATCTATTAATGTGTCACGATAATTTTTTCCGTCACGTAAACCGACATGCTATATGTTGGTTTACATGTCTTGAATTTATTTTTTATTGCTTAGATGGGTGGACGAGCCCACAGCCCACCTGGTGTTAAGTGGTTACTGGAGCCCACAGACATCCTTGTGATATAAGTTCTAAGGTCTCAGTATAGTTACAACGGCTGCCCCACCCTTCAAACCGAAACGCATTACTGCTTCACGGCAGAAATAGGCGGGGTGTTGGGTACCTAGCCGTGCGGACTCACAAGAGGTCCTCCCACCATTAATTACGCAAATTACAATTTTGCGGGTTTGATTTTTATTACACGATGTTATTCCGTCACCGTGGAAGTCAATCGTGAACATTTGTTCAGTACGTATTTGATTAGAGAAATTGGTACCCGCCTGGGGTTCGTACATTGGTGCATCGCTCGACCCGATTGCACCGAACGTCTTATCCTTTAGGCCACGACGATTTCGAAACGAGGCCCAACGATAAATATCTAAAAAAATATGGTTCTTTTGGTTTTAAATCGTAACTACCTAATTACTACCAGTATATGGTTTTTGGAGCTCCTAGGTACGATAACGTACATTTCGCTACCATAAATTCAAACTGTAGTGCATTGGTACAACAGCTGACCGACCCTCAAACAGTAATGCATGAATAAGTACCAGAAATAGGATGGAGGTAGCTACTGGTAGATTTCGCAATGTGCCTTAGGATCAGCAATAAAAATTACTATAAATTACTGTTTTTATTAAACAACACAATCTTATTACCCATTGAAGAAATCCTAGGTAAACACAATTTGGTGAACAAATTATCTATAGAGAATATTGTACCCAACAAATGCTGGTGGCAAAGCTAGTTATTCAAAACAGGGAAAAATACCACTGGAATATTTTAATGATTTCAATGATGAGATGATTACTGGTTTTGTTATTTGACCAGCGCATACGAAAATCGACAATTATATAACTTTTCAAATGTTGTATAAGAAAAACGTTCAGTGAGCGAGTTTCCGTTTAGATACAGTGCTTTTTATAGACAGGTAAACAAGCTCAGACCTGGTGTTAAGTAATAAAACTAATTTAATTTTCAGGGCTTAAGTCTGGGAGTTATATTTACCTTAACATTCAGCATTTTAAATGAGTATTTTGTTGAGAAAAGACTGTTTGCGCTCAGTCTGGTTCAAACTATAGTCGGTAAGATAATGATTATCTAACTAATAATACAATTAAACGAACATTACATTACATTTTTTGAGTTTCATGTATACGTAGACAAAATGCTTTTGGAATCCATATGATATGTTCTACAAAAACATTTACGGAAATTCGGAAAAATCAAATAAAAAAACAGTTAGGTTGGGGAATTTGCTCAGTCTTCTTAGAGTGAAGTCTTTTAAAAAATATTATATTTAACTTCAATATAAAATAATAACTAATAAAGAATAAATAAAAACTTCAATATTAATTATGAAATTTTCATTTTCCCAATTTCCGGTATTTCAATTAAAAGGTTTTTTTGAGATGCAATACGAAAATGTTCTGGCGATTATTTTAATCGTGTCTTAGCTTATTTTTGTCTTTATAGAGAAAAAAATCAAGATACCCGTATTTTAATGTGACAAAATATACTTTATATTGTTTTTATGTATTATATATGACTTTTACATTATACACAGAGGCTTACAAAAATCAATTATGAATTTCCTTAATTAAATAATTGAATAAGATATTTAAACTAGTATTGGGAACGATAGTAAACTTTGTGCTTTAATTTTCAGCGATAATATCACTGGTGACCCCCGTACTTTTGAAATGGAGTTTGGCATATTATGGATTTCGTGGTACAATGCTCATTTTGACGGGAATCACAATGCAAAATTTTTTTGCAGTTTGTTTAATGCAACCTGCTAAGTGGCATTTTAAAAGAATCGAAGTGTGCTCCGAAAATGGTGAGCTAAATTTCATCCATGCTAACACTTTAATAAATATGGATTATATAAAGATATTTTAAATTTATTGTTTCGTGTAGACTGAAGGTTGTATAATTTGTAGTTCCATGTTTTTAATTTGATCAATTTCAATATCCTGAAAAATTTTTGTGTAATTAAAATCTTGTTTGCGATATTGGTATTCAAAATTAATAATCATTATGAGTACATATATTTAAACTATGCGGAAAAAATGTTTGGTTGTCATGGACTTTAATGTCTTTTCGTAAAACAATCTAAGACAAAGTTGAAATTAACTCGCATGAACCTATTAACCACAATTTACAATTTACAGTATTATCAGAAAAAGAATCACTAATGGCCGTGAATGAAAAAGAAGATAATGAATCTAATGTCCCTAATTTGATACCAAAAGATGTTGAAAATGCTACGCCCGCACAAAAATCATACGAGTCATCATTAACAGAACACACAAAAGTAAATGGTTTAAAGTAAGTTAACATTGGCACTTAAATTGCAGTATTAATTTATATTTAATAAACGTCATATTTTCGAGTGATAAATTTCACTTTTATATGCGTAGGTGCTTTTAAATTTAAGTAAACTAGAGGTCCCGCAGTAGTCGAAATTCGACTATAATTAATTGGAATTGTAAGTTTGTACACTATTATGATTGTATTTTATACTTCTGTAATCACAAATTTCGCCAAGACTACACTATAAAAATATTAACAAAGACAAACAATATTTAATATATTCTCAATTTGACAACAGACGTCATGAACAAAAGTTTGACAATAAATAGTATGCATGCGTGTGTGCGTCAAATACATGGTATGTAGTGTGTGTGATGTTTTCTTTATTGATTTAATGTATCTTTTATGCATTATTTAAAGAAAAAATTAGCATTGTGCACTTCTTCTCTATATTCTGTATAAGTATGGAAAATTTCATACTCCTCCGTCCGCGCAATTTTCGTAAAAAGGGATACAAAGTTTTTGCTTCACGTATTAATATATAGGTACTAGAGTCCAAATATATAGTATAATACTAGGTACGTAAAAGCTACGATCCATATTCAAATATTAGATCGAAGTGTTAGTTGGATTGGAACAGCCTACATGTGCTCAAACACGGTCTACCTAAGTGCTACTCAGTATTTAACGTTGGAATCAGGGGGAGAAAAGCTGCTACCTCTATTGAAGAATGATGAAGACGGTGCATTCCGGTGTAAAATAAATTATGCATTTTGTGTTCCAAACCGGAGCGTGGTATTGTTGTACGTGATTGTAGTAACAAGCTTCGTCGTATAAGATATTGACGCGTTCACCTAACTGCGCCAAGAACAGATTGAAAACAATTAAATTTCTATTTTTTAGGAAGATATTCCAGAGCATCATTGATATATCAGTGTGTAAACAAATGATATCGACTGGCGCAGGCATCGGGACATCGTTGGCTTTATTTACAAATTTAGTATATTTGCTATTTATACCACAGGCATTGTATGATATCAACTGGGATCAGGTAATTTATTTGTTAAAATATTTACGATATCCACCGGCTATTCCTTAAACTGAGAATTACGTATTAAAGAAACAGTACAAAAATGAGATTTCAGGAAACAAAATTAAATGCGAGGCTTAATTCCGCTAATAAACTCATTATATAAGGTAGCATCTCTGACCTAGTTTGTTCCGGTCAAGTTAGGGTAACCAACTTTCTCATAAGCTGTGAATAATAATACTGTCTCGCTGTTCCTAATACGCAATCTCCAAAATTTCATTTATATGGATTTGCACATTCGTTTCTCTTCAATCTAGTTCAATCACGAAAAAAGAAATCCCGGTAAGCATACTCGTCGAACTCGGCAAGGGGTTTCTCGTGCAACCTAACCCATCAGCTCGCTGAGTTTCTTGCTGGATCTTCTCAGCGCGTCGCGATTCCGATCCGGTAGTAGATTCATTCGCGAAGCAGTTGCTCTTGAGTTGTTAGGTCTCCTTTGGAGGCGTTCGGGCAGCTGTTAGCAAATCCCACCCTTCTTGGCTGAGCCTTTGCTCGCCCACCTGTCCTGGTGAAACTGGAAAGGCCTCAGGGCAACCAGTAATCCATCAATCATGAAAAAAAAAAAAAAACTTTAAAAATCATCTTGAACACATGAAATAACGATTTATTTGATGCTAGCACGAAAAACAGTGGCTGAAAAATTGAGACAAATTCCAATATTTCCACTTCTCAAATGTTTAGTTCTAAAGAGAAAAGACAAATGCAGAGAATTTAGAAAAAAAAGACACTGTTTTATCCCTATATAGATTACAAAAGTACTACAACGTGGTATGGAAATACCTATCCTCTTCCTCCTTTAATCGATCGCTCACTGCTGAGCATCGTGATGACCCGACTGTGACCTTTTTTTTGATTTGTAGCCACTTATGTGGCACAGTGAAGTGCGTGGCTCAGCCTCGTGTCTAGATGTTCGGACACTTGGTCACTCCATCTTTTATGGCTCCGACCTCTGGATCGTTTACCATCCACTTTACCCATCACTATGAGTCTCTCCAGGTTGTCAGAGGGCTTTCTTGCTAATGACCAAAATACTGGAGCATTCTAGAGCCATATGGTGAGTAGCCTCTGTTCAACGTTTAGCTCGTTAAAGATGAAAGCGTTCGTCCGGGAAGCCGTCCAAGGGATGCGCAACATGCGCCGCCAGCACCACATCTCAAACGCGTCTATGTGTCGTCTGTCAGACTATTTTAAGGTCCAGGGCTCAGCGCCATACAAAAAGATTAGGGAAACGAGCGTCTCAACAATTTACACTTTCGTCTTTTTGAGTATGTTCTGATCCCTCTATATTTTGTTGAGCTGGCTCATAGCGAATTTGGTCATTCCGATGCGTCGCCTTATTTTGGTTTTCGATCCTCGTCTATTCAAAATAATCGAGCCGAGGTACACGAAAGTCTTGACGATATATACCTATGTATAAATATAAATAATAATAGTTCAAAATCGACATTAAGTTAATTTTTTTGGACGGTTTTCACTCTTCTTTTTTTATATTCTAAATTGACGGGACTGCTTTGTTTGTATATTTTGTATTATTTATTATCTTTGAATCAAAACACGGGGTTGCGGCAAAATACGTGCAGTTTTTGAAGTTCAGAAGAGGGATATTACTTAATCTATTATAGAAAAATGTAAGGACGTATCAGCGTTTGATTTAGACCATGTGGTTTAAAAAAATTACGTCCGTGCCATTATCTACGTAATGAATTCGTTATGTATGGAAATAGCTTGTATTATTAACCCACGTACACTTTGGCCTTTTAAGATAAGACTCTTTATTTCTCTCATAATTTCTCTTCATTTTTCTCAAGACCCTTCATTTTGCAATTTTTGACAAATAAATTGATCATTATTACCAATTAGAGAACACGAATTTCTTTGGATTGCGTTAGCAGATTGTACATGAATTTACATATTTTTTTCTGTTTTCAGAATAGCGTAGCCTTTGCTTTATCTCTCTATGCGTTTGGTGACCTGGTCACAAGAATGTTTTTGTTATGCGCGAGTAGATGGTTACATAATGTTGGCAGTCAAGAATTATATATTGGAGGGCTTGTAGTGGGCTTGCTATCAAGATTGGGTGAGAATTTCTTTATATATTTATAAGTTACTAGCTGACCCGGCAGACTTTGTAGTGCCTCAATTGATAAATAAAAGACCTAAACTTTTGTATAAAATAACTTTAAAACAAACAAAAGGAATCCGTCCGACGGGGAACACATCAAAGGAAAAAACAAAATTGTTATTTTTATTTAATTCCGAGCATTTTCATATTGAAATCTACCCTTTAAACCTTCCCTGGACTTCCACAAATAATTTAAGACCAAAATTAGTCAAATCGGTCCAGCCGTTCTCGAGTTTTAGCGAGACTAACGAACAGCAATTCATTTTTATATATAAGTATATAGATTTGACTTTAAAACGTAAACTTTGATACTTTTAGCACATGACGATAATAAAGTAATGCATCAACGCATTCTGCTCATGTTTCCCCTTTATTAAATAATCACACATTGATTTGATTTGATTTGATTTGATTTATTACATGTGTCCGAACTTCAAATGAGATAGAGCTCAACAAAGGGAGGCCAGAACTATATGACGCATTTGGTGCGAAGCGTCACTTTTCGAGGCTTGCTCCGAGAAAATGGCTTATCTGTTTGCATAGCTAGGATATGCCACTACCTTCCATCAGTTCTTTCCCATTACGCGTGTTGAGCATCTTATACAACATCTCTTCGGATCTTCTCCAGCGGTCGAAAAAGCTGAGGAAGCCAGAATATCGACCCCTATCGTAGTCCTGACTTAAGGTCAATCTAGTGTGGAGAGAGCAGGCGGTTTTTCTCAAATGCTACCCCACCGTGATTTGTGTCGCTCTCAAATATCGCCACCACGAGGCTAGACAGCAACAAGTCGGTATTTTTTTATTTGACGAGTACACGGGACTTCTCTTTCGGTTCGGAACAGGCTGTGAGAGTTTTTCCATGGTGCCAACTCACATTCACAGCTATCGAGATCTGAGACTCACCCAATCCTTGAAGACGGAACGAATAGACTCGAAGGTTCGCAGACCGGCCGAAGGTTCTGCTAGTCGTCCGGACTATCCCTCCACCACGGACTACCGAGATTGAGCCTCCTGTGTTTTGATAAAAGTTACAAAGCTTCCCTAAAAATTTTATGTTTGGTAAATAATCAATACGCCTGTACAATACAGACAGACTAGACTAGACTAGATAGTTATTACCATAAATAATCTAAATCTATGTGTATCCGATGGATGAATCAAACGGCTTGCTATTTTCGAATACAGAAATTTAAGTTTGGTTACTAAGTCACGTTTTTTATTAGTAAGATAAACAAGTTCACGATTGATACTAGACGGTCACCGTGATTACAATTATCCGCTTTTAGAAAGGATCGTTAACACAATTGCATTAAAATAATGTCTATTCTACTCGTCAAAGCAATTGGTGTAAATACCTCGCGGCAGAACGGTCAGATTTCGTCAATAAGCCCTCCCAATATCGTGAATGAATCGTTACACTGCTTTTTCAAAAAATTACAGCATGTTCTACCCATGGAAACTTTGGGCATGCTATGTGCAAGATTTTCAATGTTCTCCTAGGCCATAATTCAGCATTCTTGTGAAGCTGCCTCGGTACTGTAACGTCTATATAAACGCATTTTTTTACAGGAATGGAGTGGACACCAAACAAGATAGTTAAATTAGTGTGCATTACATTGATGGGCATTTCTCACTGTACGATCAACGTTTTGGCGTTCATTCTTGTTGGCGAATCTGTTAGTCCTGAAAAATACACGTCCGCCATTGGTTTCTTACTGTTACTAGTCGGGGTATTTTTTCTNCCATTGGTTTCTTACTGTTACTAGTCGGGGTATTTTTTCTAACACTGGGACCCGCAGTTGGTGAGTATTTTTATTCTTAGATGGATCTAACACATCACTCTTAGCTCACATCCGATTTAATGTTAGCTGTTTCGGCACTGTTATAGAAATTAAAACGTGAATGCACTTTTTAGTCAAAGACAACAAACGTAGTATCAACATTTTGAATTCCTCGTGGCCTAAAGGATAAGACGTCCGGTACATTCGTATCTAGATGCAACGGTGTTCGAATCCCGCAGGCGGGTACCAATTTTTCTAATGAAATACGTACTTAACAAATATTCACGATTGATTTCCACGGTGAAGGAATAACATCATGTAATAAAAATCAAACCCGCAAAATTATAATTTCCGTAATTACTGGTGGTAGGACCTCTTGTGAGTCCGCACGGGTAGGTACCACCAACCTGCCTATTTCTGCCGTGAAGCAGTAATGCGTTTTGGTTTGTAGGGTGGCACAGCCGTTGTAACCACACTGAGACCTTAGAACTTATATACCAAGATGGGTGGCGCATTTAAAAAAAATAAAAAAAAGTATATCGACTTTTCATTAAAAAATATTGTAAACATAATCACCATGACTGAATAGCTGTGGTAAATTTCAAATGAAAGTTATCAGGAAAATCATTTCAGAAACACCGTTGTTCTTTAGCTCCTGCTGCTTCCTTAACATCTTTCTTTGCAAATAGCACAGCTACTGGTTTGGTCGTCCGAAAGAACTTATTCCATGTCGCTCTTCTTCTGCAAGACTAGCGTGCTCTTAAATGATATACTTCATTTTCCAAAGTACTCTTGAATTTTCAATTTAATTTATTGATTTCGAGACCAGGTTTAATATTGCTCGAGATTACTTGCTTTACTCTCCGCAATTGACCGATTGTCTGAGTTTTCCATATGAATTCGATTGCAGAAATTGTTGTTTCTGACGTGACTTGTAGCTTCATTTGGGATATGATTGTAATCTTCCAAGTTTTTTATCCATCAAAAAGTATTATTTAGTGCTTGTACAGATTTTAATTAAAGCCTAAAAATATTATAAAATTAAAAATATTATATTATTTTCCCTTTTTGTACTTTAATTTTCGGATCTAAAGCCGAGCACTAGGATATGTGACTCGCCGATGGACATTGTGAATTTGTTCGAATGACGCTGTTTGATGAGTTTCAGATTCATATCTACGATCGCACATTGTGCCATCAGTCTTTTCTGTTTAACTACATGATGAACTGTTTGACTCAATAAAGCGTTTCAGCCGTTATTTTTCTTCCTTTTTTCGATGGTAGGCTTTTTTGCATTTTCTCTCCATCTGTTTCTTAACATCTTCTGGTCTCTCACCGTCAATATATCTATAGAAAACGCCTTTCCTTCATTTTTGCGTTTCTGGTATTTTTCCTTGTTTTTTCTTCGTATATCGCGTAAAGTTTTTATTGGTTGTTTTAATTTTTTCATATCTATTTCTTTCTAATTCTTTCTTCTGAGCTGAGATTTATTTTCTTTTTTCACTTCTTCTTTTCATCATCTTACTTCAAAATAAAATAAGATAAAAACAACAGCAAGGAAATAAATATTAAAGAAACACAATATTTAAATAAATATAATTATAAATACAGGGCTTTTACTATTCTTTAAATATGGCGTTCACAGTTTACATTCCACAGCGAATAGCGACTTGAATACTATAATATAGCAATATATGTCAGTAAAAAATAAAACAGGCAATTTCTTTAACCGGACTAGAGTATATCTATCATCAGCCTGTGTTTTCTAAGCAGATAATAATTTTTATAGAGGAATAGACTATTTTTAGCACAACATTCAAATGTCTACGAAGAGCAGCGTGACTACGAATATATATATGTAAATAATGACAAAAGTGCTAGATCAGTCTACGACTCTCACAAGCCGAAGACAATAATATTTAGGTATTACACTCAATAACTTAACGTAATCGAAAATACTAAAATCACATCAAAATTTATAACAATCAAGGCTTGTATCAATTTCGAGACTAAAACGTAACTAAAATATTTACCATAAGTGCCTTCTCTGAACAGTTAATTTCCTGATGATGTCGCAAATTAATTAAACTATGTATTATGTTTCAGGCGCTGTTCGGGACATCACAAATAGCTACACCGTGGCATTCTATGTCCTCTCAAGTATATTCGCGATAGTTATACTGTTTTGGACCATTGAACTATATTACAAAAAGAGTAAACATAAAAGAGAAATGTCGTCGAGATCAAGACAAATTAATCTTAAGTGAATAAATTGTCATGATGAACAAGATTTTAATTATTTGCTCCATTCGTGAAGACTCGTCATGCAGAGAGGCTTAATAAACTACTATCTTTGTTTGAAGAAGGACAAATCGTAGAGCTGAGAGTTTTTTTTGTAATAAAAATTTGCTTGATAAATTTTAATGTCTCTTGGCATTTGTTATCAATTATTATCTTTATGGTTACATACCAATGTTGGTTTTGTAGTACATGAAAGGTTTTTTTTTTTTTTGGTCAGGATGAAATCGCCGGACTTCCGCCCTTTTCTGGGAATACTGGGCGGGGTATGTCAGAGTCGATCTGACTAAAACCTCCTGTCGCTCAACAACCAACGTCCAAACCTCGCATGAGACAGAACTCATGACAAGGCAAAGGGAGGAAAGTGAAGCGTTTAGTGCGGAGCACATCTCTCCCATCACCCTCCCCCTCGGGACGCCGGACTGGCGGTCGTCGGCGCCACGACCACCAGCCCTCTCGGTCGGCAGACTGTCCGAAGCCCGCCTAGATGGCGCCGGTTAGAGTGGGTTACCCTACGGAATACCCCGCTGGGCCAGAACCAGCGTGGGTCGAGGAAAGCCGGCCTTCCATCACCCGGATGCTCTTGCGTAAAACGCGTGCAGAGCAGCTTGCACGTCGTCTGATATTAGTAGTTTTTTTCTGGCTATTGATTAGAAGAGTCGAATGCAACAAGTCCGCCTTCAATTTATAATCTTAAAAAAATGCGTCTATCTTCTATATTTTTAAATGTATAGACATGCGAATGAGGACACGGTTGGGGATAAGTATTTACAGGGGTCCCTGAATGTACAGTATGAATCTCGCCACCCATTTTTAGATACAAGATCTAAATCTCAATGTGTATTACTATTTATGTTATATGTGTTCATAACTATTATTCTTAGCTATTTGATAGTGATGAAATATAGTTGTTGGCATTCGAGGGATGGGTGTCTTTCGTGGTGTGGAGTATTCATACATTTATTATGGAAATGCTCTAAGTGATTGTTCCAGCTGATCTCTTCTCTTTTTTACCATCCACCGTCTGCCATCGGACCAAGGTACATCCATACTATTTAGAACTGGTGCGTTCATCTTATATAGTATTCTTATATAGTATAGTTTGCAGATCTTTTTTGTAACGTACCATCCGGAATAAACCCCCTTCCACGGTGTTTCCCGACCGCTATGACGAGGTTTTCGGATTATTAGCAGTAGACAGTGGTTTGGCTGCGCCCTTGGCATTCCTAATGACCATGAAGTGGCATGTTTGTCTGCGTACATCGGCTATAAAAATAAAGGGTTAGTCACAGCGGTTAGGGATCCGCTTTTATTAGTTTTAGTTAAATATGTTCACAAAACTTGAATAGCGAACTACTTAATTGGTGCTAAAGCCCGTCCCGACACTAGCAAGGTGAAATAAAATTCTGTGATTCTATATGTAACGTAGCACAGCTGTTGTGCCAAAGTAATTGCGACTTCAATACTGTGTCTCAACATGGGCACTGGTGGTAGGACGTCTTGTGAGTACGTACAGGTAGGTACCACTACCCTGCTTTTTTGTGCCGTGAAACAGTAATGCGTTTCGATTCTAAGGACGGAGCAGCCGTTGTACTGTAAGAACTGAGGGCTTAGAGCTCATGTCTCGAGGTGGGTGGCGGAGGTTCTAGATGTCTAGGGATCTAGGTAACCGTTTCACAGTAGGTAGGTCGTGAGCTCGTCCACCAATCCAAGCAATGAAATAAACAAATAAAGTTTATATGAAGCAGTGACGCTTCATGTCAATCACGTTTCTCTCCTCTGTCCGTCTTAATTGATAAAATATAATAATAAAGTTTCACATGCACGGTCAAAGCGTTACCCTCATTTCTATCTTGACATATCAAACATTAAGGTTTAAATGGCCGTTCCGAGCTGTTCTAATAAAGGTAAATAGCTATCGTTTGTTACAATGGCATTGATACTGCGATACTTTAAGATAAATATTTTTTTGTATGGAAACTCGCGACATCTTGTAGCGGATGCCCCTAAACTTATATGTTGTTAAAGTTAAGGCATTTAATTATTGTGTAGATAACACAGAAAATAAAAAATTGATAAATGATACAAGTCTTTATTTTTCATAGACTAATTGATAACATTTTAATAATTTGTGGTTTCTGAAAATTTACAAAAGCTTTCATTAAAATTAAAAGTATAGGATTTCTTTCTTCTTTTTTTTTCTTTTTTTTTTGCTCAGGAGGAAATCGCCGGACAACCGCCCTCCACTGGGGATGGAGGGCGGGGCATGTCAGAGGCGAACTGACTAAAACCTCCTGTCACTCAACAACCAACGTCCAAACCTCGCATGAGACAGACCACCAGCCCTCTCGGTCGGCAGGCTATCCGAAGCCCGCCTAGATGGCGCCGGTTAGAGTGAGCTATCCTACGGAATACCCGCTGGACCAGAATCAGCGTGGGTCGAGGATAGCCGGCCTTCCATCACCCGGATGCTCTTGCGTAAAACGCGTGCAGAGCAGCTTGCACGCGTTTTACGCAAGAGCTTCTTAGGTCCCCCTCGCCGGTCCCCAGGCCGACATGCGAGGGAGACACAAAACACTTAGAGGGCCAGGGCTTGGGCGACATCCACCTCCCTGGCCCCCGCTCGACGGCGGCGGGCCTGTGCGTCTCTCACGCACCCCGCCGCCTCCTTCTGCGAGATGGTGCACTCGCAGAAGTCGAGCATCGCCTTCCACGACTCGTCGTCACCGAGCATCGATGCCACGACACTCGGCAACGACAAGTCGTTTCCTATTTTTGCGACGAGGACACGGCGCCACCCCTCCCATGCGGGGCAGGCGACGAGCGTTTGCTCTGCCGTGTCCAAGTCGGAACCACAACGGTGGCACTCTGCCGTCGGCTCGGCTGTGATCCGGTGCAGGAACTCACCGAAGCAACCATGCCCAGTGAGCACCTGCGTGAGCCGGAAAGTGAGGCGTCCTCTGTCACGATTCACCCAATCCACAAGGACCGGGCGAATCGCCTCGACGGTAAAATATAGGATAGATAATTTGCTATCAATACTGCTATCGACAGGAGCAATGTGAAGCTAATCGAAGCGAAGCCGTCTAGTGGCCGACGCCCGTAAACATTTTTGTTGAGTGCCTGAGTTGCTTATCTTAATGTAATTTATGTGTATTATCTGTGTTAAATGTACAACAACGTTGTTGAAGGGTGTATTTTTGAAAATTGCTTGCCGCGGGCACCAATCTCTGTTTATCAGATATTGAAATAATCTAATAATGTAGGCGCTACTGCTCGAAATTCAGCTACGAAATGTGTAATCAACCAGTGAGCAGGTTTTGATTAGGAGTTTTCTGAAAACCGTTGTTTGTAATTGTACGGTAGTAAGTTCTTTAATTCGCCGCAATAGTAAGCCGATTATATTGATTCTTGGTTTGATCGCTAGGGTTCGACTCGGACGTGGTCTCATTTTATGAGTATTTATAAAATTTTCAAAAATGTTGTTCGGACACAAAAGTGGACGGAAACGGAAAAATATCATTCAGGCGCTTTAAAGAATGTGCAATTATATTGTCTAAAGGGCTTTTCAATAATTCGTCAATGTTAATGCTTAGGTTACACGTATACAATTAGAGTTTGTTTTTTTAAGTTTGAAAACCATCTACTTGAGTTACAAATACATTAAAATTATTCACTTAAATATTTAAGTTTTTATATTATTAACTTTGGAATGTCTGTCTGAGTGAAATCATATAATTTAATTTAAAACAGCTTTCTGTTTAACTAGACACTTCAATCGTTTGAGTGCTAAGAGTTTTAGATAAATTTAATTGAAATTGCTGTAAGAAAACAATTTACATTATGAGCTTATAGCAGGAATATGGCGGTAAAGACACGATTGGAAAAGTCAATTGGATCTGAATTTGAAAGTAGTTCCTGTTTCCGTCACGATGTTTAAGAATCCAGGTTAAAAATAAAAATAGTTCGTAATCGGATAACGAAGCAAGATAAGGAAGAGGGTATAAGAAAAAGAAAAAGAAAGTTTTTATTAACTTCCAAAAAGGAAATAAAAGATTTGCGTCCCACAACACTTGTTTCTACATCGTTAGCTCAACGCTTCTATGGCTTCCTAAGTAGCTTCATATACAATAAAATCAATAAGCTGATCAATATATACCCCATGACACAGACCCAATGCAAACGTGCACTAACAAATTGGCTTCACGACCTAGACTACGAGCAAACAGAGAACTTACTCCAGACTGTGAAGTAATCTGCTTTTTGTNGAGAGATGTGCTCCGCACTAAACGCTTCACTTTCCCCCCTTTGCCTTGTCATGAGTTCTGTCTCATGCGAGGTTTGGACGTTGGTTGTTGAGCGACAGGAGGTTTTAGTCAGTTCGACTCTGACATACCCCGCCCAGTATCCCCAGAAAAGGGCGGAAGTCCGGCGATTTCCTCCTGACCAAAAAAAAAAAAAAAAGGGGTAGAGGTCCCAAACGATGGTCGGACCAAATAGCGGAGGAACTGGGGATACCTATCAGCGACGCACTCCACCGGGCTGCAGGGCGGGATCGATGGAGACAGTTGGTTGACGAAATCGGACGGAGTCACGATCCTCAGCAGTAGGAACCGATCGAAGAGAGAGAGAGCTTTGGAATGTCTGTCTGAGTGAAATTATATAATTTAATTTAAAATAGCTTTCTGTTTAACTAGACACTTCAACTGTTTGAGTGCTAAGAGTTTTAGAGAAATTTTATTGAAATTGCTGTAAGAAAACAATTTACATTATGGGCTTATAGCAGGAATATGGCGGTAAAGACACGATTGGAAAAGTCAATTGGATGTGAATTTGAAAGTAGTTCCAGTTTCCATGACGATATTTAAGAATCGAGGTTAAAAATAAAAATAGTTTGTAATCGGATAACGAAGCAAGATAAGGAAGAGGGTATAAGAAAAACAAAACACAAAAAGAAAGTTTTTATTAA